TCCGGAACACCATTGACTTTGCCAATTTCCAATTCCTCCTCCATCACGTCATTGATTCAATTGCTGCAATCTCAGCCTGACGGGCAAACCCCGTGGACGACACCATGTCGCGCGCCCGCCACGACAGCAGAGCTTGTATGTATGCCCTCGACTTACAGCAGCGCCGTGTAAGTACCGTACCTTACCCGACGTCGCATTCGCCCCCTTCCCCAAGAGAAGCCTTCTTGCTCCTCCTCCTGCGAGATGCTGCCACGAGGCCCGAGGGCTGAAGAGGCTGCAGCATGTCTCGGCGCGGCAACATACCAGCTACCCAAGCACGACGACGTTGCGATAGAGGCGGTCCAATCGTTCCATGTAGCTCGCTCGTCATCCCAGCTGTCCAAGGATGGGCGCCCTTATTGCTCCGATGGCACTTTGACGGGGGAGCTTTGCCAAGAACGGGGTTGCGCGCGCGGGGGTTGGCGGCGTTTGGATTGGCAGCATTGAAGGCACGATGTAAGAGCACAGAGTTTGCCCGTCAGACCGCTTGTCGAGCTGAGAGGGACGTAGAGAGCCAAGTCTAGACCTGAAGTCTAAGTCGGCAGATCCAGACTATCCCATGTCTCCCATCTCTTCTCGCCGGAGCTTGCGCAAGGCATGGAGGAAAAGACCGCACGAATGCAGCTGCTGATGTCCAACCTCCCTCCTCCTCCCCCGCGCGGTCGAGCTAACGATGTACACTAGCAGCGGCATGTCCAAGTGCCGGACAAAAGCCCGCCAAGATGCGGATTACATGATTGCCAGGCGCAGTCGCGGCGTTGTCGCTGCAGTAATCAATATATCTTCCCAAAAAGAGAGTTTCCAGCCTGCCGGCGCCTCCCCTTTTCGCAGTCTGCACGCAGTCTGCTTGCAGCTTGGGAACAATCCTTCCCATCTGGAGTACATACGGTTAGGTTCCATGGCTACATGGCGTTGCGGCGTGGAAGAAAAGGCCACCGAATCAGATCATGCGTAGAAGCACCCCAGAGAAGCACGTTGGCGGGGTCGGTTCCATCATGTACGTTTCTTTGCACCATCATAGTGATCCCAGTCGGCCGTCACATCCCCATCATCAAGGGGAGAAACATGGCGGGGCCTTGGCGGCCAAACTCTCAGTCAGCTGTGTCTCTGCCTTTCACTTCCCTGGCGCGTCGCAGGTCCTCCTCCGGATGCGACTTCACCTCATGATGCGACCAGGCCGATCTCATGCAGAAAAGCACTCACTCAATCACTCAACTCAACGACCCCGCCCCGGCACCGGTATCCATATCGTGAAAGAAACGGTAAAGGAAGAAGGTGGTAAGCGGCACGTCATGGTATCGTCAAGAGGGCTATAATGCCACCTCGCTATCGCCCTGTTGCCCTGTTCCATGTTCAACAGAGACAAGACCCCGGACCTGGAAAAGCTGGCTCACCTTGTTGGACTCTATAACATGCGCGATATAGACAAGCAGCACAGCGCGAAGAGCAAACGGCCAAGCTTCCAACGAAAGCAAGCCTGCTGCCCTCTCGGCGCCAACCGACCGACCGTCACGTATTCGCTCCTCCGTCGCATCTCCGTGCGGCGCGAGCGACGCCATTGGAATTTGGTTATCTCAAATCCGCCTCGCAGGGATACCGCTCCCCCGCACTCGGCTCATCGCTCGCTGTCGCGGATACATTGCGCAAGCCATCGTGAGATTGACCAGAGCGCCGTGGAGTTTCTTCAGCAGTCGTGTGTGTCCGTACTTTACTTAGCATGCCGTACGGACACATTGTACGTAAGCTCCTGATGTTGGATGACGAGCCCCGAGTCAAGCCCGTGGCGCCCGCACTCTATCTCGCGTCTGTCCAGAAATTGTCGCAATGTCCAACGGCCCATCCGGTACGAGGGCACCAAATTGAACCCCCCCTTCAAACAAGAGACTTGTTCCTGGTCTTCCGCACCAGCGATCCAGATCCGCGACTTTGACAGCACCACCGCCACAACTCTGTCTGTTCGTCTTTTTGCCAGCCACCCGGGTAGAATGAGAGTGCGTGCATGTTGGACATGCCCCATAACCCGGCGCGAAGGCACGGCGGCTCTCAGTCTCTGCGACGGTGGGCGCTTGGGAAGACGGGTTTCGACTACAGATCTGTCAGACAATGCGACGGGTCGATCACGTCGCTCTGCGCCAGCCTTGTTCTTTTTACCTACACTAGACCAAAGGAGTTCGTTGCAGAACCCGCACACTCATTTTGACGCATTGCTGACTGGCGCCGTGCGGAACCCCCCTCTTCCCTCTCTCGAGTCGCCCCTGCGAAACAGCTCTGGGCCGTGCCATGTCAGTGTCAGAGGGAAACCACCAAGACTAGGGGCTGACTGGTGATGGCGCTTGGGTGGTTTCCTCCCGCAGGGGCCGCGAGCAAGAACCTCCTCGCCTCTCTCAACCCCGGAGCTGGCGTCTCCTTCTCCGGCGAGGAAGCTCTGCAATGTAGGTCGCTTACTCGCCGACTCGCCGAACACATCATCCTCGTGAACATCCCGAATCGAAAGAACCATGGCGGCGCAGGTTCGCCGGCGATAGGACCGCCGCCGCGCCGGTAGCTACCACTACCCTGTTCGTATTACCTTTGGGGATCCAGCATCTCGGACCCGGACGTCGCTAGTGCGATGCGGTTTAGCCACGCCCGCCCATTCTCGCGTGGGAGACGTGGGCAAACTGTTTCCGCATCCGGCAGCTTCTCTACGCTTCTCACTTACACAAAACCACCTAACCCAGCCCCCTCCCCTCCCTCCCCGGAGACGAAAGAGCTCATGTGAGCTAGTGGCCGACAAGGTATGCTTAACTCAAGGTGAGTGAGACCAGGAGCATGGGCCGAGTGGTGTGGTATGCAACGGAATGTAGTTGAATGTAGAGTAGCCCCCAACAGAGGCGAGTCGTAAAAGCCTGCTTTTTGCAGTGAAGATGTTCTCGATCCTCGGCGGCCCTATCTGATTGTAGATAGGGCGATGGCGAGGTACCATCGGGCCCCCGACATGAGGCGCGGTCGAGGATGGGCTCGGCCTGTGCCAGCGTTACATCTGTCAAAGCACGCACACAACTTTGACCCCACCCAGGCCCCAGAAAAGTGCGAATAGCTTCGCTTTCTGTTTCTTCGCAATGTTTCCTCGATGAAGGGCGCAAGCACGCCTGCTGCACCAAGCACAAAAACACCGCAAAAGCCTTGGTCTTGTTCGGCACCGTCCCGTTTCGGCTCGACTAAGCCACAAACGATGCCTGCACACCACCCGACACAACCCATCACCCGCAGCAGCCCCCCTCGCTATTCCGGAACATGGAAAACTTGATTTCTGGAGGTGCAAAGACTAAGAAAGTCGGCAGATGGCCATGGGACTTTCGAGGGCCTTCTAATGCAAGCTCCAAAACCGGCGCCGCCCCTCCGTTTGGCGCTGCGAAGCTAGAGAATTAGAGAGACGTACGATATGCAACGCTAGAAAGACCGAACAAGACCATCTCCCGGGCCCCCGGCAGAGCCTCTCTTTCGCAAACTTCCGGGACTCGCGCGAAACAACAAGCAGAACCGCCGATGAGCCATCTAGATTCCGATCTCGTCACCCATTTCGCGTCCCACTCCGGCGAGAGCTGGGGCCCTCCGGGTTGGGGGATCCGCTACGCTGGGCGTGGTCGTGCATGGAGCCCCCGTTTCCTCGTCCCCTCCTCTCTCGGCCGTGAGCCGAACAAGTCAAGCTTCGCTCTTCCCCGGCGTGCTTGAGGCAGTTTTGAGTCGGGGTGTATCTTTTCGAAAAGTGACGATGGATCATGGAACAGTTTGGAATGAGACACGGAGAGAAAATGGCACGATGCTTGCAGCGTGGAGGTAACAGCGGGGATTATTCAGGTCCCGTCCAAAGTGGCCCCATCTGATCCCGTTTCGGCCGGGCTTCAGACTCGGCGGGCGTTTGTGGGCTCTCTGGAAAGGAACCTCCGGAAGGCCCTTGGTCATATCCTTTGAGTTGCGCTCCGGCGGCCGGGGCCCCTTCATTCTTGGTGAGTTGCTAGTCTACCAATCTATCAATTGATTGCTTCTATGTCGATCCGGACGTTGTCTTCACGATTGCTTCAATTTACGAAATAGCCGTCATCTCCGGAGGAATTACTCCTAAACACCCATGCCCCGGACTCGATTAAAAGACACAATGTTTAGACTTTGGCCCGCGGTATCCGGTAGCAACATGACTCTCGCATGATGAGCACGACACAACGCATTCCCGCCGGCTTCCGTTGTCACGACGTTACGGATACCGGAACAGGAAACCTCAATCAACTGAACCACAAGCCAAGAAAGGATGATTGATACTCGTCAACAGTCATCCGGTGGGCGCGCGCCCGAGTAATTCCCCGCCGTTACTTTACATGCTTTCCAAGGTTCAGCCCACGCCAGCAGGGCGCAAATCGTAAGCTCCGCAGGCTGACGACGTCTAGAAAGACCGAAGACGCACCGGAGCCGATGCGGCGATGCGGCACCTCAATGGCCCAGTCACGGCGTACGTGGTTGATGTTAAGCTTACGTGCAGCCTTGGAAGCTTGACGGACAGACACCCATGCCAGGCACAGCAAAGCTTCCTCCCATGACTTTCGCTCTCTCCGCCGCCACGCGAGAAAGGCGTCTGAAATCGTGCCATGTCAAATACATGTTTGCCGAAGGTGGTGTGCAACCGGCCAACCGGGATCCCTCCGCCGGCTGCGAGCGTGCGCAGGATTTCGTGATGGAGGGAGATCTCAGAGGTTTCGTGACAGGATCATCGCAGTCAGCAAGGTTGGCAAGTGAACAGATTCATTGGCTCCAGACCCCCAAATTCTAGGCCCTTCTCGCGCTTCGCCCTGGCATCGACGGGTGCCCCGTCGTCCCATCACAACCTTGACGCAAGCTCTCCCAGCCTATCGGGCCCGATATCACATGCCCCTCGCATGCTCTTCTTAGTTCCCGCCGGGTTCCAGACTCGTCCAACCCCGCAGACTTCACGTCCGCAGCCGTCTCACCCCGAAACACTTCGCCTCCTCCTCCGCCTCCTCCGCGAGTGTGGTGCCCCGCGAGGGAACCAGCGGTATCTGCTCCAGGTCGCTCAGCCACGCGGCCCCCACCACCCGGTCCCGATGCCCGTCCGGCGGGAGGCTGACGGCGACTTTGTGGGTCAGCGCCTCCGGGATCCGGCGGAGGACGTTGGACGTCACGGAGAGCCACTGCCGCTCGTAGAAAACGTCGCTCTCCAGCCAGAGGTGTACCGACTTCAGATCCGGCGTGTCGAGGAGGCGGAGGATCTTGCTCCAGGATTCGACCCATTGTTCAAAGGTCCTGCCTTCGTAGATGTGCCGCCGGAAGGAGAGGTTGATGTGGCGGAAGGGATGGGCGGGGCTCCGGTGCCGTGTGCCAAAGAGGTTTCGAGCTCTGATGATGTCTGTGGCGAGGGCGATGTCGGTTATTGTGAATGTAATGGATTTGTAGATCGAGGCTGCGCATTCGTGATACCTGTTCGAGCTAGTTAGACATTGCAGAACATTGAGTGACTGACTATTCGCCAGGATATCATGGAGTACTAGGCCGTGGATCACTTACATCCGCTTGCACGCCAGCATCATCGGCAGGAAAGGCGTCCAGGTGTCGACTTTAACGCAACGACACCCCTTCGCGATGTCCTTCCATATCTCGTTCTCCTCTCTGGCTTCTTCGCACTTCCAGTGATCGCACCATGTCGACATCTCTCGCTTGTACCACAGAGGAAGCGTCCCCCGGGCATCCGGCACCATCCACATCGACTCCCACGGCTCACCACCCTCGTGCTTCTCGTCCGGGTCTCCGGGTCGGTGGAGCAAACAGCGGGTGTGAGCATACCCAGCCTCCGTGCGTATGATATGCTGGCCCATCCCGGCATCGCGCCAGAGCTCCTGGTAGACCATCTCCCGTATCTCCCTGGGAAGCTTCCCAAACAGTCCGCTTTGGATCTGACCATGTTCAGGCGCTTGAATATCGTGAGAGCGTTTGCCGTCGACCCAGAAGTCACCAAAGGAAGCGTCGCAGGCGGTGGGCGAAGCAAGCGTGAACCAGGAGTCACTCCCAGCGACGCGCCTCGACTGCTCTCCAGTCCTCCAAACCTCAGGCTCAACCGAACCACGGCCCTTCTTGCCAGGATTCGTTCTGCCCGTCAGTTTCCGGACCAAACGAGCCGTCTTCCTGGCCAAGGTCCGCACGCCGAGCCGACCGGCCCGTTCTCTTTCGTCACTCATCTCGGTAAAAAAAAAGTCCAAGTCGCCAACAAACCAACGCAGACACCAGACAGCGAACACACCGCGCGCACACCGGACAGAAAAACAGGTGCGAAAGAAAAGAAGGGAAATCAAACGACTCTTAAGAAGCGAAGCGGACTCGCGGCGCGCCCGTGCCAGCCCAGCAAACGCATCAGGAACAGGGCATCGCATCCGCCCAACCAGAATTGCGGGCAAGCAAACGGCGAAGAAAGCGATCGACCCGCGCGCACCATAGACAGGAACCCCTTTCGACCGGGGCATGGGAAGAGAGGTAGGTCCAACAAACATTTCGGACCGCTGACGCCACATCCGAATCTGGGCCTTATGTTTGCTTTCCCAGACGAACCGCGTTCGGGGTTGTCACCAAGGTAGGATGGAAAATCAAGGGCAACTTTCATGGAAATCAATTCATTTGACTGAGCGGGTATTATCGTGACTAAAAGATGCTATTTGACAGTCCTGACAGATGAAACAAACGCCTGCTTCCTCTCCATCCCAATCTTGATTCTCACACCGCGTACCTGCGACACGGCGAAGTCGAGCTGGTTTACTTCTGCTCCTGCTTCTTGCCGCCGCCAAAGAGGCCGCCGACGTAGCTACCAGCGCCCTTGACGCCGTCGGTAGCCGTGCCGGCGACGGCCTTGCTGCCGTCCGCGATGCCACCGGCGGCGGTGTTGACGGCGCTGGAGCCCGGGACGGCAGTCGGGACGTAGCCGCCCTCATCGTCCTTGCCCTGGCGCTCGGCGCGGTTGATACCCTCCTTGGAGGTGAGGTCGCCGATGGGCTGGAGGAGGCCGCCTTGGCCGACCTGGCCGGCTGCAAGGTTGTGGACGCCGTCCTGGAGGGTGTCGACTTGTTCGACGCCGGTCACCTTGGTCTTGCCGAGGGTGTCTGGAAGTTGACAAGTTAGCGATGTGCCACTGCAATTTGGGTTCAAAAAGAGTGGGATGGCATGGAAAAGTGCTTACCCTTGGTCGTGTAGCTAGCCTTGTTGTCCTTGGTGAACCATCGCAGGTAGACGTCCTCGAGCCAAGGAACCCATCTCTCGTACTGCTGGTTGTACGTCTGCTTTGCCCACTCCATGTTGTCTGGTTTTTAATATTGAGATTCGTTGGAAATGTGATATTGGTCGCTTGTGAATATCAACTGAGAATCGACTAAAGTCTAGAATGGATCAACAAGATGAACACCTCAAACGGATGAGGAACCACGAAAGAGCTCTGGCCTCATATAAACCCCCTCTCAGGCCCAGACACACACACAAGCACGCGCACACAATTCGTCAGAGTCGTCACTCGCCATCCCTCCTCGCCAACGCGTGTGTGCGTGCGTGTGGCTGATGATGCCCGTGGATACGTCATAACGGCCGTGATGGAGGCTTCGCTGCGGGATGCCATAGGCTGCCGCGCAGTCAGGCAGCCGGGGAGGATCCCAGTCGAGACTCAGAGCTGACCCCTGCACAGACATCATCGGTGCGGTGACATCAAATCCTGGAAGTTGGCAGCCACATCAAAGACCTCTCGCACGCCACGCAGGGTGGTTCCAGAGTCCAATCATGACCAAAAGGTGATCTTGAGTGTCTGGGATGTCGCTCGAGAATTTGCAAGGCTTGGCTGTCGACTGGTGGATCTTTGGCTACTGGCCCAGAGATAGGCGTTGGGCTTGGGTTGATGCGACCAAGGCTGCGAGTGATGTGCTTCGACACGTGGGATGAAAGGGCGGGCGAAAGTGACACCCAAAAAGCTGGTCAGGATCTCGATTGCGGGTTGCGACGTCATCCCGCTGCCAGAGTGGGTCCGTGCTTGACGGGAAGTGGGGATTGGCCGGCGGCCTGTGACGGCCTGGTGGAGACCGGCACCGGCGCCGATGATTCTGGGTGCTGGACGCCGGGACGGCCCCGATTTTCGAGAAATCCGGGAATGAATCGCACGGGATTGTCTCGTGGTCTGTAGGCGTTTAGTTTCTCCTATATGAACTGTTGAAATGTTGCTGGGAAACGTAGTCATAATATTTTTCCCATGTTCAAGTCAAACGTTCTCAGCCATTCATGCTCGTTGATTAGCAGCCTGAGTGTGAAAATTCACAGGAAACCGAGAATGATTCCATTACCATCCTCAGATTCTGACGAACGAAAGGTGGTACATGTCCAGGAACATGTGTTGCGCTAATTTATATCGTACTTCAATAAGTACCTACTGCGGTGGCACCCACCCCAACTCCTCCATCGGCCACTGTATCCACGGCTTATAGCTCTCATCAAGCAACGCCCAAGCCTGAGATATCAAATGCTTCGCCCAGCCCTGTAGCCACCACTGACTCTCCAGTTTTCCTAGAACGATGCAAAAGTGGGCATAAATAACAACAGCCTCCTGATTCGTCTCAGGTGTCTTCAGCAAGGGCAGAAAATCCTCCGCAACGAAGTACTTCCAGATGAACATGTCCATAATGTCCATGCCATGGCCGCCACCATGCAGCGCGAGCGAGAGAGGGTGTCTCAACTCGTCGATAGCATAGTTATAGATATCTAACAGGTTCTCATCTTGACAGTTGCTGCCAATCAGTTTCCTGAGATTTTCGAGATTCTCTGGGTGTGCCGAAGTCTCGTCCCTGGCCGTAAAGAATCTTTCCGTTGCGTACCGAATGATCGGTAGTAGAGGCCCATCATATATCCTCGCGTTCAAGAGTTTTATGAGCGAACATGCCCCAGAGAGCAGAAATGTCCAGTCTGGGAAGGCGGATTCCCAGACGACGGCTGATTCTTTGAGATAGCGCCCAGATGCGAGAGCTGAAAACAGTTCTGAGGTCAGCTTGAGCCTTTATCGTGCCTACCGACGGAACCTGGAGCAAGTTGACTTACCAAAGAAGATTGTCAACAGAGAGAAGAGAAACAGGTTCTCGGCGTTCCTCTCATCCAAGCTGCTCATCAACCCCATTGCTTCGCGACTGGCAAGACGATGGTACAATAATGCCCTAGCCACCAGTGCCTCTTTGCGTTCTGGCCGTTGGTGAGCTAGGTGCAGCGCTGATATAGACAGCAGCGTTCGCATCACGTAGTCACATTTGAGAGCCAGCCGTACCACAGACACTCGCCACATCTGGCGTACCAGTGGATCCGTCGACAAGGTCATGTAGACAGCAGTGGTGAAGTTGTGTATCAGCTCCAGGTCCACGAAGTTGATGTCTTGGTCCACTGGGGGGTCCAACAACTGCGGTGGTAATGGTATTGGTGACGATGCATTCTGCTGTAGCGAAATGTGCATGCCAAATGCTGGAAAAGGCGATGAAATCGGATGGCTCTTTAGGAAGTCGCAGGTTACCAGGTGCCTGACGCAGTTCTGGCAAGCCGGCTTCAGCTCATCGCACTGGGCGGTATGAGAGGTCAGTATGCTAGTGCTATATGCATGTTGCTATGGACTGAGCTGTCGATCTGTACAAGAGGACCAGGTGTATTCGGAGAGAATAGGGGGCCAGAGGCCAAGCCGCAGAGCAGGGATGTATGCAAAAACTGAGTTGGGACGAACCTTTATCTTCCGCTGCTTGCATGTCTTACAACCCAGCTTGGACTTGCGGTGCGGCCTCTTTGAAATCTTCAAATTGCTGCTATCCGCGATGATCTCCATGCCGCTAGCGGGTTTGGCCCCCAGTCATTCGCCGGGTGGAGTGAACGGCACCAAATCGGACTCGTGCGTCGCAAGGGTTTCAAGGTTCAAAGTATTCGTATTGGCTGTCGGTACTGAACCCGGGACGGCGGATCGATCTCGGGGCTGCGATCTTCCGTGCTCTCAAATGCCGGCACAGACAACCGAGTGCATTATCAGTAGCAGCCTTGATGTTTGATTGAGAGGGAGTCAACGTCGCACTTTTTTGAAGGGCGGTGATGGGTCGTGGGCACGACGCGGAATCCACGGGCGGCGATCCGTAAATAGACGGGAGGGTCTCCTTACTCCGCACCGTTCGGAGCGCTCGTATCGTTCGGTTCGTGACTTGCGCTTCGGACGCTAAGCTCGATATGGAATAAGAGTGGTTCAACTGAACTAGGAGCTTCGCTTCTAAGTCCACAATATTGGACAGGAGACTCCGACATACCTTGGAGCTCTCGATGTTGTTTGTTTCGTGATAACTGAGTGAGTGTACCATAACTTAACTCGTCTAAGAGGAGGAAAAGAGACTTCGAAATCCCGTGCGGCGATCGGCCAATTTCAAAAACCTAATGATGCGTGACTTGAGCAACCCAGCCCCGCCGAGTGGCCCGAACAGTCTCGCCGAGCGAGCGAGCCGAGTGCATCGCTTTTTCGACAAATGTGCGAATATGAAATATGATTTGCTTGGTCCGATTCAAACGAGAGGCGGCTATATGGAACAAACCCAGGAATTCCATCGCGCTGAGCTACCATGCGGCTATGCTGGCCATCCATGTTGCTATCTTACGCAACTACGCAACCTTGGAGATCTTGAAGGCCCCAGGAACCCTTTTCTGAAACACCTCCTCTGGATCATACTTGGCCGCAACTTCCTTGAGAAACTTGATGTTCTCAGGGCCATAAGTGCTCAACGGATCTTGGGTGCCGTCTGCGTATCCAAGGTACTCCCACTCCACGTCAATACCCTCTGCGACGCTGTAGTCCTTGAGTTCCTTCCGCAAAGCGACAAGTTGCCGACGGGCTTCTTTCTCAGCGTCTACAGAGCGAACCATGTGCTGCATCTGGAAGAGAATTGCGTTGCACTTCTCGCGCTCCATGCCGATGGCATTACCGCCCTTCTCGACCGAGTGACGGAAGAGCAAAGCTGGCATGGCTTGAAAGGTAATGTAGTTGAGAAAATCAGCGTCTTGGGTGTTCTTCCAGTTCTCGATGAACCTGCTCTGGGCTTCGACGGCACGGCGTATGAAACGCCCATCGTTCTTGCCTGTCAAAGTCAACCAGACCTGGCGGTACCCAGTCGGTTCCTCGAGTTCGACAGTCATGTTGAGGTGACTATCGTGGCGGAGCGTATTCATGGTTTGAGGCTGGATATTCCAGAAATCGTCGTAAGCCGGGGCCCACTCAGCATTTGCGGTGTCATGGACAGCAGTTGACACGACGGTGCCGGCTGATGGTGAGTAAGCCCAGAATGTGACAGCCGAGCCCTTGGTGTAGTTGGGAATGTTGTCAACCCACTTCACGTAGGCGGCGATGTGCTGCTCTGTCGTGCTGAGAGGGTACACAATCTGACCTCCCCATATCTTTACCACGTCAACGGTCTGCATGTCGATGCGGGTGACTATGCCAAAGTTATTCGATCCTCCTTTGAGTGCCTTGTGCAGATCAGAGTTGGTCTCCCTGTTGGCATTGACAATCTCGCCGCTGGCCAGGACGACTTCGAAGTTCACAACGTTATCGCAGCCGAGACCAACCTCGGCGCTGAAGAAGTTGTTGCCGCCACTCGTGAGAAAACCGGCAACTCCGACGGTGGAGGTGCGACCTCCTGGAGCAGTCACACCGTACGGCTCAAGAGAGGAGTAGACGTCGCGCCAGAGAGCACCAGCACCAATACTCGCGATCTTCAGATCTGGTGAGTATTGTACCTCCTTGATTAGGCCCATATCAATGGTGACACCATCGGCAACTTGACAATCAGCAAATCAGCAAATTTGTGTCATGCTCAGGAACTGGTCGTAAGTTTTCAACCTACTGTTGGAGGCCCCAGCCCACGTCGCGTGACCACCGCCGCGAATAGCCCAGTTGCAATCCATTGACTTCAACTTCGTCACAGTCAGAGAGACCTCCGCAGTTGATGATGGTTGAACGATGAATCCAGGGCTCAGCTGGGCCGACACAGAGAAGTAAGACTCGTCACGGGCCTTGTAAGCCGCTGTACCTTGCCTGAGGACCCTAAGCCCGGCGGAGTCAAGAGCATCGCCCTGCAGCCCGAGATATTAGCAGAAGAGAATGGGAATGGTACAAGGGGTCGATCACACTTACAAACGAGGTTAGCATAGCATGGTTTGTTGCACATGTGATGAACGCCATTGGCAGGACAGTACCGGAGGCCGGTCACAGAACTATGATGGCTGGTATGAGATGAAGTTGCAGTATAGTAAGAAATTCATGTTTGAGAATTTGGTAATGTGTTCATTGGTAAGGTGCAGAGACAAATACGCGCAAATCGCGGGGCGTATCATCTCCTGCGCGGGTCTTTTGGTTGTCGCCGAGACGCGCTAACTCCGCCAATGCCCAATGCTGACAACAAGTAATATCAAAGTAAATGGATGTGTATGGAGACTTTGTGGTGCCCAGCCTGCATGTGTTGGTGCAGGGTTACACGGCAGAGTGCTGTGCGGGCAGGCTGGCGAAACATAGACAATTCCAGTTGGCAATCTGCGGTTCCACTCATGAATTGAGCCAAATAGTTGATGATCAGTATCTAGGTATCCATCGAATTCGGGTACCCTCCCCGCCCGACTGAAATCTCTACCCTTGTACGTCTCTTTACGATCCTTCAGCCCTAGAGCTGCTGCCGGTGCGCGGTGTAGATGTGCGGGTCTTCGTGGACGATGGAGCAACTGATCGACAAAAGTCGGATATTTTCTCGAAGTGATACCCCGAGTACTTCAATCATGAACGCCTCTTCACCTTCCACTTGAGCAAAAGGCCATATGAAGTAACAGACGCTGCACCGCCTGATGCTTGGCTAGATTTTGGACAGAACCCTCTGGTGTCTGCCAGTCGAAGATTCCAAGTCGTTGAGGTCTATGTAGCTCTCGTTCAATTGCTTGAGATCAGTGACTCCCAGCAGTCTCATAGTGGTCTGTATCTCGTCGCTCAAGACTAAAACAACAAATCAGCAACATGTTACGGCTGACTCGCTAACGTTTGACTCACTTGATATCGCCTTGAGTACGCCTGCTGTACCATAGGCACTAAGCGCGTACATGAACCCGCGCCCGATACCCACAGCTCGGGCACCCAAGCAGAGGGCCTTGACTACATCTGTGCCTCGCATTACGCCACCGTCGACGTAGATGTCGAAGGATTTGAACACATCGGGGCAACGAAGTCGAATATCACGCAGCACTCTAATAGAGCTGGGTGCGTGGTCGAGTTGCCTCCCGCCGTGGTTGCTCAGGTAAATGCCATCAACTCCGTGATTCGTCGCCTCGAGCGCATCTTCCCACGTTTGGATGCCTTTCAAGACGATCGGTCGGTCGCCCCAGAGCCCTCGAATCCAAGCAATATCACTCCACTCAAAGGAAGAACAGTGGTGGCCACGGAGTGTCTCGGCTTCTTCTCCTGGAAATGGAGGGTGTGTCACGCTGTCCTGTGCGACGACGCCTGCCTCGTAATCCAGTAATGCCTTGAAGCGATCGTCCACATCCCGCTTTCCGATTACCGGGGCATCAACCGTGAGAGCCAAAGCGTTGAAACCGAGCTCCTTTGCCTTCAAGATGAGTCCTTCGGCGTCTTTCTTCACCTTGGGCACATAGAGCTGGAACACCATCCCGCCGCCACGAGCCGCCGTCTCCGCTTGAAAGCACTCCGTTAAGTCTTTTGGTGCCACGGATGAATACGTGCTAACGCATTGTGGGATTCCCATACGTGCTGCTCCTCGGGTCAGACACTTTTCGCCATCGACGTGACCTAAGCGGGCTGCGGCGGCGGGAGCAATGAAAACAGGCAGGCTGCTTTGCAAACCCATGATTTGACAGTTCATTGAAACTCTCGACACATTTCGAAGAACGCGAGGACGGAAAGAGACGAGAGACCAATCGGATTGGTTACGGAGTAAGGATGTATGCGATTCAGCGCCACTGGTGTAATACGCTTTTGCTTTTGGCGTAAGGGTGAGAGCGGCAGCTTGGGCAATATCGGAAAGAGACTGGCAAGCTGAAAGCGGGAGCACTGTTGGTGAGCCTTCCGTTGCTTGGCTTTGACTTTGGTCGGGATACTGGGACTTCTTCTTCTCAGCACTCGGTGACTGAATCACAGGACCAAGCCTCTTATCTGATGATGGATCAGCCCGCAGTTTCTCATCTGCCAATAAGTGAAGAACGTAGATAACCTCTTGGTAGATGCGTCTCAATCGTGCCTTCAGCATGTATCGGCTCATATTCTTCAGTTGCATCCTTGAACTTGGTAAATAAGCTGTTATCTCTTCGCTCAACAAACATACCTTCCCTGCATAGCGCAGAATCACACCAGCCCCTCCTGGATGGTCATCCAAGAAGTCCGTCACGTCGTAAACGTGGCCAGAAACAACGATCCAACATGAGTTCCTAGAATTGTGCGTTGCTACCTCGTCGATTGACAACATCTTGAATGCCTGGAGGAGGGGAGCTGAAGACCAGGTGATGGCGACTGTGTCAACGAACTGTATAGAAAAAAACTATCGAACGGCTTAGTTAACAGCAATCGTCGAATTTGATCACTCAATACCGCTTGTTGTTATCGCATATGCGCAGATACTGCAAATGATGCAAGGTGGGGTGTGAAGCACGAGGTTACCGAAGCCTCGGTTGTATTTTCCGGTAACATATCCATGCGCCAATTCGAGATGTCTGCCACACCTCTTTGCACATCCTATCTGCACTACACGGGGGTTGAATGAAAAGAACGATGAAATTGTTGACATTTTGCTAGTGCAAAATACGTGGGATTTGTAGTGTCAATTGGCTCACTGCATATCCTTAAAGCTATTTCTTGGGAACATACAGTGTCTGCGAGTTGCAGTAACCGAGGATTCCCGCGAGTCCTCCCTCGACCCCGAAACCAGACTCTTTGTGGCCTCCAAACGGTGCACTGGAACCGAGATCCATATGATTGTTGATCCAAACACTTCCTGCCTCCAGACGTCTGGCTACCTTCGCTCCGTGGTCAAGATCTTGTGTCCACACAGATGCCCCAAGGCCAAGCTTGCTGTCATTGGCTCTCTGAATGACATCTTCCTCATCCGACCAGGTGAGAAGCGGAATAATGGGTCCTGCGTAACTTAGAAATATGTCGGATTTCGGTTGAGGACCGAAAGACTCACCAAAAGGCTCTTGAGTGACAACGGGTGCATCATCAGGCGGGTTGTCCACCACGACGGGGGCAATGAAATACCCCTTGCTAGTCGTGGCAGATGATGTGTTGCCGGAGACTATCTTGAGGCCTGCCGATTTTACTTCCGATACCATGTCTTGAATCTTCTTGAATTGTGTTTCGTTTTGGATAGGTCCTAGAAGAGCACCTTCAGCAAAGCCGTCACCAGGCTTGAAGGACTCGATCACCGTGCTGAAAGCTTGGAGGAACTGAGGGTAGATATCCGTATGAACATAAATACGTTTGATCGTTAGGCAGACCTAAAAGATCCTTAGCACCAACCAAACCACTACCTCAAACAGTTATCACTGGATGCCCTCCTCTCACCTGAGACGTGTTGAAAAGACATGTTTGGGCAATCTGAGGGGGATTAGCTTCATTACTGGTTGATTTAGAGCAGATGGCTTTGAAATACTCACTGTTGTGGCGGTCGATGCGACGTCAACATCTGGGAAAACAATGGCAGCGTCATTTCCGCCTCTAAGCATCATATAAGCTCACCGAAGAATGCTTTGCAGGATGAGTGGTCAGTGTGAACTCACAGCTCGAGAGTGACACGTTTCAAGCCTCTACTACAGCTTTCCATAACCTTCCTACCAGTCTCAGTCGAGCCTGTGAAGCTGATTTTGTCAATGCCAGGATGTGCCGTCAGCCATGGACCGAGCCTGTCGTCGCCACTGAGGCATTGGACTACCCCGGGCGGGAAGAATCGCTGAGCCAGCTCGCAAAGCTTCAGACCACAGTAAGGAGTGAAAGGGCTTAAACGAGTTTAGTGAATTGTATGGATGTTGCATGCGAGCTTTTCAAAAGAGGGACCCACGATGGCTTCAGTATGAACCCATTACCGGCAACCAAGGCAGATCCGAGCTTGGTGCAGGCTATGAAACCGAATGTGAGCCATCTTTTGTCTTTGAACGAGTGAGTCAAAGGAGCTTACCTAGATTGATGGGAACTAGGCAATCGTCTGTTTTAGCAATGCCGACCTTATTCCATGGGAAGCCCACGTGGAGTAAAACTCACAGTTCCAAGGCACAATAGCACATACGACCCCTAAAGGCGTATATCTGGTTACAATTTGACGTTTTTCGGTATCTTCAACCACGGTCTCTGGCAGTGAAATCTTGGCCGTAGCCGCAAGACGATCAACAGAAGCAGATACCTCCATTTGCGCACCCCACATCTGATTGCATTTTGTTAATAAATGATTATCAGAAGATGGGCTCTAGCCAATCTTACAGGTCTGCCCTGCTCCTTGACAAGCATCGTGGCGAAATCCTGCAAGTGCTCGCCAAGTGAAGCTGCGAATGCAGCCACTGCCTTCCTGCGATCCACTTCCGGCACGAGACGCCACGTCCCAAAAGCCTTTCTCGCTGCCTTAACTGCTCGATCTACATCTTCAGGCTGTGAAATGGGGACTTCGGGATTAGCTTCAAGGGTGGACGGGTTGATGCCATGTCGAGTCTCCGTGGTGGTAGTTGAAGCCCCGTCGATGATGTTACAAAACGTCGAAAATGAGAGAGTTGTGTCGGTTCCGTCCATAATGATGGTCTTATGGGATACGTTGACTGACTTGCGCTGTTTCTTGGGAGTTTCTTCGTGACCTTGTAAATAATTAACACAGGTCAGTTCAAGCCAGTTTAGATCTAATTTACATCACATGAATAATCCTAAAATCTGATAAAGCGCTCATCATGTCTCGGCTTCTATTTCCCGCCCTCCAAATCATCTCATGTATTTTCCTTCCGTCCATGAGCATCAGTGGAGAAATTAGGTGTAGAATGGGTACCCTTTGCCGGACTCTAAGCAGCTGATGTCTAGACATCATGTCACCGTCGTTTCGCGCTTTGAGTTTCAGGATTTGAAATTCGTCGTCGTCCTTGTTGGCGAGCTAGGGGATACAGTCTGGTTCGAAGGCCAGAGTCGCCCAAACCTATCCCTAAGGAAATCACAGCGAATGCGTCAGAATAAGAATGACAGTGATATTTCACCGTCATCTTGTTGGTGTGGAGCTGAGAGTGGATGCGTCATGCGGGGGAGCTTTGTTGGTACATGGCCATGCTCGACAGCGTACAGTGCACACGCACTGCCCTAGGGAATTGATGTAACTTTTGGGAGCTTGGGGCTCCTGAATGCGCCTCGGTGTATCAGGCGCACGGTCGAAATGATCTATCGAACCAGTCTCGGCGAACCGCGAGCTCTTTTCCGGAGACCGTGGAACACTTGTATGCCAACATTCAATCTAGCAATCTGCGAGTGACAAGTCCAGCGAAGAAAACCATCGAAGTCTATAATTATTCGTCTATGTTCAAGTCTATGATGAGACGTCAGAAGGCTATTCCCTACCTCGGTTGTCTCGACTTTGGATGCCAAACCTTACTCGATTAGACGGGATCGAAGTCATCGACCCGGCTCTTAATCTCGTGAAAGCAAGCACTCACAGTACGCTCGTTATCGAAACCGACGCGATGGTATTTGACCCTAGCACGAATGGAAACGCCTCTCGGCATGGTGATGTACAAGATGATCAGCCCGGGGGGAAGTACGGATACCGGCTAGGACATAGGCTTGGAGAGTACCAAATTCCCGACGTTGTCCTCAACTCTCCAAATCGGAAAATCAAAGTCATCACAGTTGGAGCCGGAATTAGTGGCATACTCATGTCATACCTGATACAGAAGCACGGCGAAAACATCCAACATGTAGTTTACGAGAAGAACGGTGATATCGGAGGAACTTGGCTTGAGGTTCGTCTTTTTGTCTCCACTCAAATGGACATCGCTGACGATCTCATAGAACAGATACCCGGGTTGTGCTTGCGATGTACCTTCCCATGCATACGCATTTGCTTTCGCCTTGTATCCCGACTGGCCGAAGTACTTGAGTCCGTCCGAGGACATCTTCCGCTACCTCGACCGCGTTGTTGAGTGTTTTGGGCTTCGAAAGCAGATGGTCTTCGACTCGACAGTGATAAGCTGCAACTGGAACGAAGACGAGTCTCAGTGGCACGTCCGAATTAAGAATTCAGAAACCGGGGAGACTCGCGAAGATGTAGCCGACATTGTGATCGGCGCGAACGGAATTCTAAACTCATGGAAGTTTCCCGAGGAGGTCGAGGGTCTGCATTCCTTCAAAGGTCGATTGATACATACTGCACGTTGGCCGACCGACTTTGGCGAGGAGCAATGGAAAGGTCGGCGGGTGGCAGTCATTGGGTCTGGAGCGACGAGTATGCAGGTTGTCCCTACCATGCAACCACACGTCGAAAAAATGGACATCTTTGTCAGGACCCCAGTTTGGTTTGCAGAGTTTGCGGATCACAGTGGCGACAACTTCGACTGTAAGCATTACTCCATCTAATGGAACCCTCTCAGAAGTTTGCTAAAGACGTTGCCCAGACACTACATACGAGCGCGAGTCTATGAAGAGAGACACCGAAGCTCTTGTTCACAAAGCCAAGTTCATCGAAGACAAATTGAACACCGCGGCCGGACTACGGGCGTTCATGGTCCACAGCGCCGAGGCACGCATGATTCGCGAGCACTTCACAGACCGTATGCGCAGGTTCATCCACAGAGACGACATCTTTGAGCAATTACTGCCCAGTTTCGCTGTTGGCTGCCGAAGACTTACGCCTGGTAACCCGTACATGCGCGCAGTGCAAAAGGAGAACGTTCAGTTGCATAGAGGTGCAGTAACAAAGGTTACACCATCCACGATTATTGCATCCAACGGTGATGAGGTCGAGGTTGACACCATCGTCTGCGCTACCGGCTTCGACGTCAGTTTCCGACCGCCGTTCTCAGTCGTCGGACGTAACGGAATTAGCCTACAGGAGAAATGGAAGAGAGTCCCTGAAGGGTATCTCAGCGTGGGCGTGCCCGATATACCCAACTACTTCACGGTCGTGGGGCCGTCATTCCCCATTGCCAACGGAAGTGTTATGGGCCCCCTCCAAGCTGTGGGGCGGTACATCCTGAAGGCCATACAGAAGATGCAGCGAGAGAACATTGCATCTATGGTTCCAAAGCAGTCCGTCACAGACCAGTTTAATGAGCATGCGCAGGCCTGGATGGTCGGAACCGCATGGGCGGATTCTGGGTGTCGATCGTGGTACAAGGACAACAACACAGGGCGCGTCAACGCGATATGGCCTGGTAGCAGTCTGCACTTTTGCGAACTGATCACAGAGCCGAGGTACGAGGACTTTGAGATCAAGTACTCGAACAAGCACAATATGTGGGAATTCTTGGGCCTAGGCTTCACCAGGAACATGATGGCGGAGAATGGCGATCTAAGCCCTTACATGGCGTTAGATGCTATTGACGGGGCATTTGTCGGATATGAGCCGGACAAGGATGCCGAGGACGCAAGAGTCAGGAGGATGGCAGACATGGTTCACGACGGACCAAAGAAGAAGGGAAACGAGGAGGGCGCAACGGCAGGAAGGATGCCATTTTCGAACGGATCAATTTGAGCAATTCGTTGTTGACAGAGTATGGAAGGTGTAAATAGACGGGCTGGTATCTGAAAGCAGTCTCAGGTGCCCGGCCTGCTCCTTTGGGATGGAAAAGCTGGTGACTACAGCTCTACTACATCGTCTAATGAAATTGAGGAGAAGGAAACCATCTCGTACTGAGAAACATCTACTCTATAGTCAGTAGGTTTGTATGATAAATACATCTGCATTTGGAAGTTTGACAGACCAAGCGAGCAATCGATATGCGGGTATTTTCTGGCAAAGTCTTTGCTAAGCTTCCAGTTGGATGGCTGGTCAATTCCGAAGGCTGCTAAGGCATTCGCAACGACCACTTCGGGGCCATACGGGGCGCTTCTGCTCGCAAAACCTTCATCAGATGGCCTGAGATGCGTTCTAGTCGATCTAGAAGACTGGCGTTGTCCCATCCTGCAGTCCATTTCAGCTGCAAGGGCGTCTTGGACTAGGGAAAAACCGGTGTACATCATGCCGCCCGCAGGATTAACGGGCACTTTCAAGTATATCCATTCACGGTTATGCAGCATAGAATTGCTCCCATCGGCCCGACCGCCGCCGACACGGGGAAGAATGTGGTTGAAGAACACATCGTGAATGTTGACTGATACGCGCTTTCCAGGCAACTCAATGACAGTGTTCAAGACGATGTCCCGGCTCATGGCATCGAGGTCAAGTTTGGATGAGTACAGGATCATCTGATCGCGGATGGATGGCCAGTTGATAAAGTCGATGACCACTGGGTGGAAGGGCGTGGCAGATTGGAGTGGTGTGGGCCGGAAAGGCACCGGAATCTGCAATCTGTCTTCGACGGAGTTTGAAATTCGCCAACGCATGACTGATTCCATGTACTTCGAGAAGTACTGAGACTCTGGTGGTCAGCAATGAAGAATAGATGGTTTCAAGTCAGGGAGAGAAGACACGCACAACGCCATAGATGTATGGTTCCAGGCCCGCGAGAGCACCCATGACTTCAACGGCAATTGAAGCAAGCTTGCTCACCAAGCGTGCCTGGCTGGCCATGACAGGAAGGTGGCCCATCTGCTCTTGTAATGTGCTGACTGATTTGGACATGATATGGTTTGCGGCCAGCTTCACTTGGTCGGCGAACAGACTTGAGTTGTTGATGATAGCCGTCATCTCGTTCCCTGAGGGTTGAAGTTGCTGAAAGGACATCATGTCGAAGGGTAGGGACATCATGGTTGGCGACGCATTTGAATCAAACAGTCCGAAAGGGAAGCGTAGGCTCGGTGAAGCGCAAGGAGAGCCCCAGCTGGGCATGGAAGTGGGAAGGCTTGGCATAACTGTCAGATCTGCCGGTAAGAAAGCGGAAGGTGATTGCAAGACACTGCGGGTATGATGAAATGACTGGGGCATGTAGCTGGTGTCTGCATGTTCTGGAGCTGACTGCAGCCCCATAGCGGCTCCTCCCGAGCTCGCCTCCGGAGCCCCGACATTAGACGCAGAAAGATCGGCAATATTGGCCGCAACGGAGGAACTCGGCCCCCTTGGGGGGACTTCGGTCGTTGACGAAGGCTCTTCTTCACTCCTCTCTAACGTAGAAACCTCTTTCTCATTGGTCGACTCCAAGGAAGACTTGCTTAGTGTTGAGAATATAGGATCATCTACTTCATGTCTTAGTTGCTCGCTTTGGCTGTACTCTAAAGGCGAAGGTGAGATGGGAGACCAGAACAGGTGCACTCACCAGCGGCTGCCGTGGCAAGGTTTCCGACACTCAAAAGTTTCTGGCGAAGGCGGAATAACGCGTCTTCCACTTGCTGTTTCTCCTCCGCAAGCTTGAGGTGGGCCTTGACCAGCTCATCGTACTTCGTTTGTTCCGTAGCATCTTCATTTGGAGCCTTCAAAGCTGCGACCAAAGATTCCATCTGGCGGATGTATGCAGACTGCTTTTCTCTCGCACATTGCTGAGAGATCCTGTTCTGCGTACGCTTTTTCTCGGCCGCTGACTCCGACTTGCCCTGAGACGCTGCTGCTCGTTTCCGCGAGCGGGGCCCGTCCTGGCCCCTTGAACCGTTGGTGGAATCAGTTTCCATCATGCACCGGCCGCACTCTTGAGAAAGTGTCACGATCTGTGCTCAAGACGTTGCAGTATTCAAGAGGGACGGTGTAGATATGGCAGTTGGGGTCAACTAACGTCACCGACGCGAGCTGGGAAGACGAAGTCCTCGCAGGCACAGACCGGCTTGTTTACCAAGCCCCTGGGCGGGGATTTCGGTCGCTAAGGCTGCTGGCTTCTCACCGAATGAACAAGGGTGTGTGGCTGGCTGTCTCACCGAGTTCACGTGAAGGTAAAGGATGAAAACGAGCCCGGAAAATGCAGCCGGAAGAGCCGTGTCCGTGCCGTCTCTTGTGGTTTGTTTCGTGCCACTGCAACCAACCAACAGCAAACCACCTATTGCTAAGTTCTCCATACGCTTTGACATCTCACACCCTCCTTAAGCCGACCAAAACAAGACTGAGCCTTAACGAATTTGGATGCTTTGCGTTCGCACTGTGAGATCTTCTGCAACCCCTAATGCGCTCCACAAGACAGGGGATGTTTAGCTCCTCTCTTCCCCGCACAAGCCTGGAGCCGCTTGGGAAGGCCTGCATATGGGAGACCAGGGGCTGGAAAGATGAGAAAAGATGTTTATACTTGCCGGCGAGGGCGTTTTCAGATTTCCGTATCACAATCCATCTTCCGGCTCGCTTGTTTGACATACTATTTCCGCACTGCAGCATGAATTTGTGACCCTGCCGAACAAGAACGTTTGTCTGGCCGGTATCATGCCTCCAAGCTCTCAAGGCCCGGCCGGCAGCCCCACGGCTACGCGGCGTGTATCCAAGCCTTCGGCACGCAGCCAGCCCCGAGCGTCGATGGCATGCCTGGGATGCCGGCAAAAGAAAACAAAGGTATATCAATCATCTTTCTAAGCAATGGCTATGTTGACCGTAGATCTCAGTGCGATGTTCAGAATCTAAAGCCAGGAACAGGCTGCACAGCCTGCCGAAATGCGAATATCGAGTGCATGACTACGCCTAATGGCGACAGGAGAAAGTCAGACAGCATAAGTCCCTTCCTTTACCTTCGACTCTGTATGAAGTTTGCCATGAACAAATGCTGATATTTGAACCGAGCCTATCTGTAGACATGGCTCGCGAGAGTATATTGTTGCTCTGCAAGGAAGGCTGGAATCTCTCGAGGCACTCATCAGGTGAGGTCTCACTTTTGTTTGTCGTGTTGTTGACGGCGACTAATTAGATGCAAAATTCAGCCAAAGTGGTATCAAAAACCTCCAAAGTACAACTAGGACTCAAGATCCTCAATCGGCGCTATGCTCGCCACCGGATACATCATCCTTGGACTATCCACACGCCGACCTGATGGACAAGGTCAGTTCAGTAAGAGATATCAGTGGCGACGAACATTCGGAGTGAGTTCACCTGCTTAATTATCTATTCGGTGACCGTCCTCATGTTGCCAGAAAAATTATTCAACCATGAAGGAGCACGCTCACAGCTAAGACTTTGCAGCCAACGTACACCTATTTCACAACACGAAGTTAACGAAGACGACGATGACAATCGGCGTGAGTCTCTATCCGATTTGTTCAATCCGGATGAGACAGAGAATATAGACCCGCAATTGGAAAACTCGATTGAGTTAGGTTCCCCGGTCCCTCTCGATGCCCCTGCAGCAGCCAATCCACCTGTGCCTGAGACCATTTCTGAACGGCTTCCAGAGCCTAATATCGAGGAAACCACGCAGAACTTGGATGCAGATTCAAGCCCTGGGCAGGTGAGATATTATGGTCCGACCACTCAACTACATATCCAAACTCTCCCGGCAAACAACTTGGGAGACGGCCCCGTTCACGCAGATCCTGGCCCTATGTCGAGCTTTTCCGTAGACATGGACTCTTTACAACTGAGGGACATGCTGCTCAAGTCCTACTGGAGCTTTTCTTCTCGTTCAGTCCCTGTTGTTGACGAGTCACTGTTCATGGCTCATCGTGCATCCGGGCAACGATCCCAATACTTCTCACAATTTCTAGAGGCTGCTATGCTAGCTTGTGCGACTCGAATCAGAACATCAAGCTCCGTGCGGAAGTTGGGTCGGGCGTACGCCGACCTGGCGAAGAAGGATATTGTCTTTGAGTTAGACAGACCCACCATCGCCACTTTGCAAGGATTCCTGCTGCTGAGCGACTTTGAAGCTACGTCTGCCAGAGATCGAATTGGATGGACATACAATGGTACGTACACGTTCGTCCCCAGATATTTGATACGAATCTAAGAAAGCACTACAGGCATTGCTTGCCGACTGATATTTGATCTTGGCCTTCACGAAGATTGCTCTCGATTGATCAGACACGGCATACTGGTTCAAGCAGACGCAGACTTGAGGGTTTCCTTGTTCCTGTCGGCTTTCGTGTACGACAGGCTATGGGCGCTCTACCTTGGTCGCCCAAGCTGCGTCCCGATGAAATGCCTGGAGCAACGACGTCCTCAACTTGCGCCGGCCAAATCAACAGGCCCACTTGAGCACTGGGTCGCTCTCTGCAAGTACATATCAGAGGTAACAGAGAAGCTCAATGGCTTTGGCCCACCGCTGGACCACACTAGCGTCGACAGCCTCTTGGAACTTAGTGCTCGTATCTCGGCGGCCCACGACAGATTACCGCCAGGTCTTTCATCGAAGCAAACCTCCGAACTCTGTGTCACAGCATACGGACTAAACATACAATATCACGGCATTCAAATCGTCCTCCACCGGACGCTTGTCAAAGTCCTCTTGCAACACGATTCCAGCAAAGCAGACGGTGTCGACCATGACGACCAGATCAAAAGCTTCCGCCGAATGCTATATGATAATGCAGTATGCATCTGCCGGCTTCTTCTAACTTATCGCGAGATGTTTGGCGTTGAGAATTTCATCACTGTCATGTTGGACAATATGTACATTGCGGCAAGTACGCTGGTGTCCCACATATTGCAGCCACCTATGATGGGCGAGCAGGACGGTAGCTATTGCGAGAGCTCTCGGCTGCTTGGATTCCTGACTGAGACGATGAGAGACCTCCCAAAGTATTATCCCGTTGTTAAAAAGATGCGCCAAACACTTTCCAGGATCACTGAGAACACAATACTGGCCGGTTCCTTCGGATCAATGAACTTGAGCAGTGGAACTCAGAACCCGGACAGTCACAGCATCATGGCCAACACAGTGGCTCAGCCCGTATCCGGCTCATGGGGATCGATGGGGGCGTTAGTACATGATGACTTCCTTCTCGGCCAGGGAAACTTATTGGGTGATGGATTCAGCCCAGACCCAAGGCTCAATGCCAATTTCTGGTTTTCTGATGTGACTGGAGGGCTTCTACAATGAGCCTTAAGAGCAATAAAGAGATCGATTCCATGACACAAAATATTCCAATCAGCTCCCGAAGAGAAATCATTTAATGTTCTATGTTGTTTCCTTTCCTTTCCCAACCTGGAAAGATGACAACCTATAACAGCACATATGCGTCTGATAGCAAGTATTCACCGTCTCTAGTGAAGTCCCTTCATAACGAAGCTCCGGTGTGAGGAGCGGTGACTATGGATGCCCTATCTAAGTCTAACTTGACCCGACTGACCATGCTCATCGCATCTGTGGAGACAACGAGAAAGTTGAAACCTTCCATTGCCCGCTTCCTCGCAACCTTCTCATCCAACGCGAGACTTCCAACGACCATACCTCGCTTTTTTGTCGCCCCGATTATCTTCTGCAGGGCTGCTTCGTAGACTGGCTCCTCTCCATCTGCTCCCGAAAGTCCCAGTGAAAGTCGGAGGTCGACAGGGCCAATGAAAACGCCAGAGACACCGTCAATGGAGATAATATCTTCCACGTTTTCAACTCCCTCGGTAGATTCAATGATGGGCAAAATTGCTATTTTGCCCTCTGATGCCCGTTGAACGTACTCCCCCACGCCGCCGCCTGGACCATTAGGGAGACCCCAAGGCGCGCTGCTTGGTCCGAAGCTTCGTCTACCGCGCGGGGGATACAAGGCGTGTTGGGCAATTGTCCTCATCTCAGCCTGATTATTTACCATTGGCACAATGATACCCGCTGCACCGCTGTCGAGAGCCCACTTAATCCATTCAACTCCTTGGGATGGAACTCTGACGAGTGGGAAGCATGAACCTCTGGACGAAGCCACAACTCCATGTACCATGGCAGTCATCTGTTCTGGTCCGAGAGGGGAATGCTCCATATCGATGAATACGAAGTCATATCTTACTTGACTGACCAGTTGAGCGACCGTCACTGAAGGAATGGTCAGAGCAACACCTAGAGCAGGCCCGGCCTTTTTGACCACTGCATGTATGAAGTCTTCAGGGCCAGTGCTGCTGCACTGAGCGGTCTGGCGGGGACTTTTGTTGTCGTTCTGTTCATTGTGATGCATGTTTGCATGGAGAAGAATGCCCCAATTTTTGAAAAGAATCGATTGAAATGAACACAATCTATATAAAACCTGACAGGCGAGTGTCGGCAGCGGAGCCAACTACAGAGCCATGGGTGCACCCGTTTCGGCAAACCACGTCCGGATGAGGTCGGGGTTCACGGGTAAAGGCCGTTCCTACTTCCCGTCTGTTGTGATACGAATTAGAACCGAAAACATGTTCCTGCGCATAACTATTCTTGCGCGGCAGAAAGCTAACGTTTGAGAACCTTATTTTGAAAGCCCAGCTTGCCAGCTGCAGCCCACACCGTTCTCTCCCCACCCGGAGTTCCCACCATCTTTGACAGTTGTCCGCCTCATGTCTCGTCGATGTTTGCCTCCATAGCTCCCGGTAGCCGTGGCGCGATGTAAGACCGCGCGATTGTCCCACATGACGAGATCGCCGTCATTCTCCCATGAGACAGTCAGCATGTACTTTGGCTGAGAAACCCAAGCCAAAAGCTCATCAAGAAGTGGCTTGCTCTCTTCCATCGTCATCCCATCGAAGTGATGGGCATAGGTTGTGACGTAGAGATTCTTGCGCCCTGAATCCTCATGCAGTTGCACGAGACGGTGTCGTGACATTGGCATGTCCAGTGGCTCGACGTCTTTGAAGATGTCGGGAGCTGCCAACTTGCGGTTGTGCATGAGAGAGTTGTTGGTTATCAAATGATCGATCTTCGCTCGTAACTGCTCGGGCATATCTTCGTAGGCAGTTCGCGAGTCCAAATACTGCGTCTCTCCCCCTGTGCCCTTGGGTGGCAATTCGACGGCGTGGAGTAAAGAGTACGAGCATCTTTGTGGGTTGTACGCCATGTCCGCATGCCACAACAAATTTCCCTTGTTCGCCCCTAGACGCGCGGGTTCCACGTCAGTCAAGACGTTTCCCTTCTCATCCAGATTGGAGACGTCGAAAATTTCAGGCTGGTGAGGAAATCTCATTGCCCGACCGGCGCGGATGTGCGCCTTGACGTCGTCAAGTTCCCCAAATTGGCGTGAGAATTCGATGTGTTGCTCATTGTCGAGGTTGGCTTTCCGGAAAACGAGAACTCCATACTTGTGCACTCCGTCTAGAATTTCGGCAGTGACATGCTGTGGTACTGGCGCTTCCCACTTCATGCCCTCCACTGAAGCACCGAATGTCGGATGTAAAGGGGTGAAGCTCAAGGCTGGCTGAGATGTTGCTGATGGCATGTTGAAGGTAGATGTGAAAACTTCATGTGTGAAAGCAAATATTTGATCGTGCAGTTGTGCTTCTATGGCCACATCCACATTTGACTAACTCAAGCCTTCGGTTGTTCTCCGATTTATGCTTCATGATGTGGCGTTCAATGTCGCCGTTACCTTCTCTAGTCACTCTAGGAACTTTGAGAAGCCACCCCGAGAGTCCAATGTCCCAGTCGTTGGTATGAAGGTAGTGTGTGGTTGCCCGGAAAAGTCTCAAGTTATTTCCGATGTATCGCCTAACCCCCTTTTGCTACGCATATCACACTAATAAATGACCGGCTACATTTTCCGGTAGCTTGTGATTTCACAACAGGCCCACAGCCACATCGTCACTGCGGGCCCTAGTCACTCACACATGAACACTAATCTCTCCCCCAAATGAGGGGAAGTTTGGGTTGTTCACCTTCCTACTCAGCTTTGGTATCAGAAACCAACCGACGCCTTGTTTCCCCTCTACGACCCCAATCCTTGGCAGCACGACGATTTTCGCAGCCATCATGGGTATCTGCTCAGCCTCTTCTCAAACTTTGCTGCCCTACACCAGAGAGCAAGTTTATGCTTTCGTCACCAACCCACACAACTGGCCGCTCACATACAAAGGCAGCGGCGGCATCCAACAAAAAGACCTCAAGCTACCGTTGACTCTTGGATCACAATGGACAGAGAAAGTTGCCCTTGAGAACAACACTTACTACGCCAAATGGACTTTGATTACCGCCATCGAGCCGTGGAAGTGGTCTTTCCTCCAAGAAAACGGAATCGGGGCTACGGACGAGGCCATCACTGATGGCGTTGATGGGACGACCGTTATCGAGTACGTGTTTCAGAAGGCAGAAATGGAAGTGGGAGGCACGAAGAAAGAGGCCTGTATTTTCAAACGCACCCTCAGCATTGATCTTCCCCGCAACGGGACGCTTCCAGAAGACCTTCTTGCTGTTTGTATGAAGACAGCGGGTATCGAAGGGTACCACGACGCCGTGGCACGGGAACTTAAAAAGATTCACGGATGAGTACTAGATAAATAGGACGATTCAGTCTGAGAATCAGAATCTGCAGCAACTGCCAAAATGTCAGTTTAGAAGGACTTGGGAGTGACAGTGATTAGAAGTTTTCTCAGTCCTGTTGGCAATCATGAATCAGGGCAACATCATCCAATCTAGCATAGGCTCGGTGAAGCGTTGACGAACTTAGTGATTCCGGGTTGGTATTTTGTATTACAGAGATGATAGGTAACCAATTTACAATTTGTTGTAATAAACCAATCGCGCGTTCGGCAGATCATGCTACATATTTCATATGAAAGGAATTCCTCCAGGGGCGCTCGTGAAGTGATTGAGAGGGGGCTATGCAGCTCAGGGAAATGCTATCGCACAAATTGTCAATGCTTGGAAAAGTTCCCAGCTGTGAAAACAACTCCCGGATTGCTGGGGACATAGTAAATAGCCGTCTTAGCGGCAAGAGTCAACAGCAGCGTCAGCAGTATCATGGCCACAGAGAATCCAAAAAGCCCAAAAACCTCCAAAGGAGCGATGCCCATTTTTGCCCTCGGACTATCTCGGGTTTCGGCACCAGTCTGGGCATCGTGGTGCGGGACGTACTTGAACTCGTACTTGTACACTCCGTTCAAGCTGTCTTTGTTTTCGACAATATAATCCCAAAACAGGTTACGGAATGTCTGTGAAAGCGGGTTAGATGACACGCTGATTAAGACAACCAACAACGATGGAGGTCGGGGGGACTCACCTTGACTTGCCACCTGTCCCAAGCTGGAATCGATCGTGATAGATACGTGATCACCATCAAAGCCCAGCACTGACCTCTAACAACTGCATCCCAGTACAGTCCTGGTTTGCCTAGTCCAATCTCGTCACACATTTGGTCGCCATTGATGAACCGAGTCCCCGCCTCGAAGAACTCTTTGGGCTCGTGGATTGGAGCGACTCCATCCAGTGCAACAACAAGATTGTTGGCCAATACCCTGGAGTTCTTGCTCGGAGCAAGGCAGGCATTCAGGAGCGACTCCATGGACGCAAGAGCCCTCTCTGGCGTCTCCAGGACCCAATGGGGAGTGCCGAGGACATAACCAACCCATCTCCAAAGTGCCATGTAGTCAAGTGCTTCCTGATGTCGCACATAGATGCCTTGGCGAGGCAAAGCAAGCCAGATGAGATTTGTTGAGAAGGCGCAGACAGATTGCATGGAGTCGAGCTCATTGATCGGTACACCGAATTTGTCGACGTCGAAGTATCCCGGCCGCTGTTCGTTGAGCTTGAGAATGCGGTTTCGAACCGATGCGTGTAACAGACGCACACGGACAGCCGATGCGAACCCGTCACCTCCAGGCTTCACGTCGTTGACTGACTTCGTAACTTGGAGAATGAGCTGGAAGGTCTCGAAAAGACGATTTTTGGCAACCTTCGCCGAGTGGCCTCCAGTGCGCACCAACGTCTCGGCCGGTCGATAAGAAGCCCCCTGCAAATACCTTGGTTAGAACCACATATCGGAAGATACAGAAGTTGTGCTTACGGTGGTCGCAAGAAGTCCCTGGAAAGCGAAGCCGGCTACAGCAGCGGGAGCATAGCGATAGAACACGTCTTGGCCACGCTGTATTTGTTCCCAGTCAACCCAGTCAGGCACTGAGTTGATCTCATCCCAGAGATTTTGCAATCTCTCGTCCGTGTGTTGATTGTCGCGAAGGAGAGCGTACGTGTCTCGGTCCGGCTGAGGGTTCTCCCCCTTTCCCTTTGCATACCACCCAGCTCGCGGTAGCGGGGGAGGAAACATGCCATCTAAGGCTGCGAGAGCCTCCGAACCAATTTCATCGAACTTGTGCTTCAAGGGATCGAGCTGCTCCGGTGAAATGTGGAGCGGCGTTTGCCGGAATTTGTACCCATAAGAGTCGATGAGAGATGGCTTCTCTTGCCGAAAAAACGATGCCATGGCGTCGAGAGTGATGAAGACAGATTAGACGAACAAATTTCCCACAAAAGATTTCGAGAAAAATGTCAGTGCAATCAACTCGACTATCGGCTCATTTTAACATGCTTGAATCAGCTGAAAGCATTCAGCTAAATGCGGCGGTGTTGGCATTAGAAAGGCGTACTCTGCAATTGGTGGATGTAGCGGGCCTAGGTCAGTGACAGATCGAACTACATGGGCGCCGCTCAGGATGACAAGGAAATATCTGACTGTCCTCGTATCTCGCTTGTGTCGAGCCAATCACAAGCAGCCACTTATAACCACTAAATGCCAGAGTTGCATACCGGTATGTTTCACTGCATGAACGGTTTTCAAGGCAAAATCATGTTGATTAACACGTGAGGCTTATCGTACAATTCTTGTTTTCCGGGGATAGCCGCTGGGTTCTGAAGGGGTCCAGTGAAGACCGGACACCCGGGGCCATTCACCACGGCTCCGGTGCGATGTTCCGGGGTGTGTTCGGCATGAGAAGACATAGATCACATTGAGTGACGACATGATTCTTCGTTCTCACTGAACTGCAATGTCTGCCGCCATCGATTCAGTGAACCCCAGGCTCGTCTGATACTACCCAGCATATCCATTCAATTTCTCACATCATGCGACTCAGCTTTCCCGGCGTGGCTGTTGTCACTGGGGCAGGATCAGGTAAACCCACACCGAGTCATGTAGTCTTGTGTTAAGCTGAGAGCCATTCAAGGGATTGGCCAAGCAACAGCGAGACTTTTTGCCAAGGAAGGGTGCAGACGCATTGCTATCGGCGACATCAAAAAACATCCAATCGAGGAGTTAAAAGCCGAAATTGAAGAAAAGTACTCTTCCACGAAAGTAGCAGCTTTTGAGCTTGGTCAGTCGACTTCACGGTGATAAGGCTTCTGGGGGAAGAGACTCATGTGAGCAGATATTGGATCAGAGGAATCGGTGAATTCCATGATGCTAGCAGTATCCCGCGAGCTTGGGCGCATAGACTACGCTTGCAATGCCGCAGGAATTCTACTTCCTGGTCCGACAGACGAAGTATCGGTTGCTTCTTTTGACCTTCAGCAGCGCGTGAATCTGAGGGGAACGTGGCTCTGCCAAAGAGCCCAGATCAAGCAGATGCTTCAGCAAGACCATATCAAAGCAGAGGATAGTAACTTTCCGGCTAGAGGATCAATCGCCAACGTCGCTTCTATGTGCGCCTTGATGGCCTATGACCATCTTCCTGCTTACACAGCTAGTAAGCACGCTATCCTGGGATTCACGAGGTCCGATGGCCTTCGCTATGCAAAGTATGGCATTCGGGTAAACGCCATCTGTCCTGGTGTTATTAGAACACCCATTCTTAGTGATGTCCCTGATAAAGATATGGGTGTTGATGTCCAGGGGATGGTGAGTGGCATGGCGGCCGGAAGACTTGGAACTCCTCAGGAGGTTGCGGAGTGTCTCGTTTGGGTCACAAGCGGCAGAGCAAGCTTCGTGACTGCTAGCACTATCGCTCCGAATGGAGGTACGTTGCATGAGGTGAAATAAACGGCTTTTGACATAACAACTGATGGATATCCAGGTATGATTGGCGCTTGATGTTCCCTTGCGGTAATCATCAGATGTTGAATGAAGCAATTTTTGGAGTGGTACGGACCTTTACGTAGATGAACGTAGGTGGTCAAAATGAATCTACGGGATGAGAAACCTCTTTTGGAAATCGTGTCTTATCCATGGGTCTCCATGGTGTCTTTGAGTATTGTCCGATCTGTTCACAATCCACATGTCGAGCCCTTCCAGGGTTATTAAAGAGAACGCAATTAACACATGTAAATTCAAAGTCATTTGACTTCGATCTGTGTAAAGTCCTTATCAATAGTCTTCGTATCCTTCTTCTGGCGCTTCGAAGTACCACGTCGTATCTTTCCCCGGACCCTCCTTAGTCGAAAATCCATTTCCAAGGTACTGAAACCGGTTCTCCGAGTGATATGTGTACTCCCAGTCCTCATAGCGCACATGACTCATCATATGGAACCAGTGAATGCGGCTTCCTGGGTGCAATGCAACTATTCTGCCATCCACAGTGCCTCTCTTGAACCAACTGCGACACGGGGTGGCCCATGCCGTCCTCTTCATGAACTCAGTGATGTGCTGATTGAAATCATCCACCGCTTTCGCAGAAGGGGACACAGCCTTGATGTTCTGGGATTGAATCTTCTTCATCATGTTGATGATGTATTTTGTTGCATGTTCGATTATCGGGAGAACCGAGCCGTGACCCACAGGTGCATTGGGACCAAGAAAGACTACCATTGTTAGTGCTCAGTCACATATGACTAAACCGCCAATGGACACGGAAGGCTCACCAAAGTAATTTGGGAATCCAGGCACAGCAACGGAGAGATAAGCCTCAGGCACATCTTTCCACTTCTCGTCGATGCTTTCGCCGTCTCTGCCAATCAGCTTGAAGCGCGGACAGAAGGAAAGGTCGAACCCAGTGGCGCAGATCAAAGCGTCAACTGGTATGATCTCGCCGTTTGTCAGCTGAATACCTTTGGAGACAATTTTCTCAATATCTTTCGTCACGACACGAACGTTGTCCTTCGTGAGAGCTTCGAGATACCCGTTTCCAGGCGTGGGACGACGGCACCCGACCGCAAAATTCTTGGGCATGAGGTAGTTGAGGATGTCTTCGTTCTTGAGCTTGACTCTCATCTCATTGCTCGAATATTCTCTGGCTTCCTTCTGATCGGCGCTGTCTGCAATGACCTTAAGTTTCATGAGAATTGCGTCGTTTAAAGATTCAGATTGCTTACAAAACGGAACCTAGAGTTCAGCTCTCCCTCAATCTCCTTACGATACCTCATATAGGCGTCTGGTTTTTCTTTGAAATTGGACTTTTGCTCTTCCGTAACTAGAATTGAAATATCAGCAGTCTGAAAAAAACACTGTTTAGATAATACTTTGAGATTGCTCACAGGAGAAGTTCGCCCCGCCTGGGCCGGCATGGCTTTGGGCAAACCCTGCTGTGATCCATGTAGGAGACCGAATGAATGTGACCAATGATTTCACAACTTCACAGAAAGAAATGTTAGAATGCGAGTCGATCGTTCGTTTAAAAATCGGCATCTCGGGCTTACGAGGTTGCAGCGTTGCGACAATTTGGATACCTGAAGATCCAGTACCCAGAACGGCCACCGTCTTCTCAGCAACTTGGTATTCCGGGTCCCAAGTTGCACTGTGAAAGAGATCGCCCTTGAAAGAATGAAGGCCCGGTACGTCGGGCCACTTCCAATTGCTACAATTATTAGCAAGTATCATCTTTCCGTTTGAACACAAGGCGCACTTCAATACTCCAGTGCCGTTGATTAGGACATGGCCCCAATCATGAACCGTGCTTCCTGTACTAAAGTCTAAACACTCCACGTTCCAGACTCCAGATGCCTCATCCCAACTGGCAGAGGTTAACTTGTGGCTGAGTTTTATGTACTTATAGAGCTCGTATTTCTGTGCAATGCCCCTGAAGTACTCCAGGATCTCATCCCATTCAGAGTAACTGGAAGATATGAGCAATTGTGGTAGTTGAGGCCAAGAGTCTTCAATGTCTTACTACTGAGTCCAGTCTGGGTTGGGCTCCCATGTGAATTGGTAATTGTGAGAAGGGATGTCGCATGCGCACCCGGGATACCTGACATGTCTCAGCAGTTTTCAAGTCTTTCAGACTTGGTCAATCACCTGTTCTCAAACCAGGTCCCTCCAACATCTGAGTTCTTCTCATAGATCCTCAACTCGAAGTTTTCCATATGCAAGTCCATGTGCCGTGCCAGGTTCAGGCCACTGGCTCCAGCACCAACCATCAACACACGGAGTTTTCGCGCAGTCCCCAGAGGGGACTCTGTCACAACGTAGTCGCTGGCCGCGGTACGAGCTTCGGCTCTCCCATTCGCGTCCATGTTGAGATATTAGGGTTCGTGAGTGGACGGACAGATTTGATAATGTTAGCTATGTCGAGTTTCGCCGGAAGTAATGAAATAGGGGCCACTAAATACCACCAAAACAACGAAGTGCGATTCCTGCCAAAGTTGAAATCGCTTGAAATCGATTTAACAAAGAGACGTACAAAAGTTCGCGTTGATGCAACAAGTATTGATGTAACTTTGCGGCAATAACCTTTACTCAGCGCCGTTTGCGCGACAGCAAATAGCGGATGCTGCACGAGGCCAGTACTCAATTGCACTTGTCAATGAATCTTCCGCTGACGTCGGCTACTGATGCTGTGCCTCCATTCCAACCACTGGATCTAATAGAATAATTGCTTGATTGCTTGTATAATAGCGGATATACTTTGCCGGTGCTGCACAGAAGGCAGTATGGTATGACGCATTGACCCCTCATGTGTCATCTGGTCATTATGATTGGCATCGGAGAAACCATAGACTCATATCCGACGTCCTTTCAGTACATGGCACAGCAGGAAATGATGTGATGAACTGCTTCGTCTAGATATTGCAGGGGTCGGGATCCGTTGAGCATGAACGACTTTTAGAATCCGCACAGTCACTCTCGACATTTGCCCCGTCTCAATATTCTTCAGCATTCTTCAGAATTCTTCACCGTTCTTCAACATGTCTCACCCAGGACGACTTGAGGGTAAGGTGGCCATTGTGACCGGGGGCGGGGCTGGATTTGGAGTCGGTATTGTCAACAAGTTCACTTTTGAGGGAGCCAAAGTACTTATCTTTGATATCAACGAAGATGATGCGAAGAAGACCGCAGCTCTGCAGCCCGAAGACTCCGCAGTGGCTATGAGAGGTGATGTCTCCATGGAAGCGGATTGGAAAGCTGCCTTGAGCCTTGCGGTGGACGCTTTCGGCAAGTTAGACATCATCGTCAACAACGCTGGGGTTGTTTACAACGCCTGCTCAAGCATCGAGACGACCGAGGCCGACTACGATCGAGTCATGAGAGTGAATCTCAAGTCCTTGTACTGGAGTTCCAATGTGGCCATTCCGCACTTCTTGGCTGAGAAGAAGGGTGGAATATTCATCAATATCTCTAGTATGGCGTCAGTCCGACCCCGACCAACTCTTGTGTGGTACGGGGCCAGTAAGGGAGGCCTCACCAACGCAACCAAAGGCCTAGCGATCGAGTGGGCGAAGCACAATATCCGCTTCAACGTTATTCATCCCGTCGCAGGTGAAACCTCCATGTGAGTCGAGAGATACCCTGATTTCTATCTAAAGCTGACGTGTTCACTAGGGTCCCATTCTTTCTTGGCGGACATGATTCTCAGGAGGGCCGAGACAGGTTTATCAACACCATTCCTCTCGGGCGATTCGCTCAACCTACAGATATTGGAAACGCGGTTGCATTCTTAGCCAGCGATGAAGCATCCATGATCACAGGGGCATCTCTAGACGTGGATGGTGGCAGAGGAATTTAGGAATCGGAGACAGCGGAGGCCCCGCAGAGTGTGATTCGAACCAAATCGGGCAGCTCTCTTAGCATCTAGTTCAGCTTTAGCGCTTATCCTCAGTTCATCAATACCCCCGTCGATAATGAGGCGGTGTATAGCAAATAGCAAGTGTCCATTGATATGTCCAAATCAGCCCGAAAGAAGCCCGCGCCAAGGGTTTTTCGTATCACCGTCTCACCACGGGCGTAAGCAATGACCAATGTGATGTTGCACAGCACGGTCCGGAAACCCGTTTCCGGTCAGAAATCCTCCTTTCCCCGCTACACATCATGGAACTTTGGTAATGGCCTGCAGTTGCAAAGCTGGTCTCAGTGATATAATTCATCATCGCCGTCTCGAACCAAAAGACCTAGTCTCTTCTAGTCTGCCAGCCACGCCATCATTCTGTCATTCGTGATCTCTGTCAAATTCGACTAGCTAAAGCCATGGGTGATCTGGAATCTAACCAGTCTCAGTATCAACATCTCGGCGTCCCTGACCCGGAATGGACTGCTGTAAGAAATCCGAGCATTGATTCTTTGGAAGGAGTCTGACGTCTACAAAGTTCTATGAGAAGAATGCTGCAAGAGTGCCCCATCTAGTGGGCTCACCGCAGCATCTCCGGGATGTCATGGCGGAGCTCAAAGTTTACGCTACAGCAATGGCTCCGCAGTTCACCGGACTGACAACCAAAGACATTCAAGTGAAGGTCTCGGACGGGGTTGACATAGCTTGCCGTATTTATACGCCAGTCGGGGCGCAGACTCCAGCCCCAGGCCTTTTGTAGTAAGTTCGCACAGTACGTAGGAGCGAATATTCGCTGTAAATCTTACCTGACTACCAGCATACACGGCGGAGGTTGGACGCTCGGTGATCTCGAGGGCGAAGACGTCGCTTGCAAAGCGATTTGCGAGTACACCAAAGTTGTCGTCGTATCTATGGACTACCGGCTGTAAGCACCAAATACTCACGCTTAGACAACTTGAACTGAAACGAGTATACTGACTAGTCCCCAGGGCGCCCGAGAACCCATTTCCAAGAGGCTTGGAAGATTGCTGGGACATTTTGCTTTGGGTAAGAGCCACTTACTCCGAGGCATATATGAGAGATGAGTTGACAAGGAGGCTTGTATAGACGCTGGAGAATTCTTCGACACTTGGTATAGATCCAAACTGTGTCATGGTCAGCGGTTCCAGCTCCGGAGGAAACTCTGTAAGTTCTCCAGGGACTTTTGATTGGGGAAAATTAATCTGAACAAATATAGACTGCCGTCATCGCCCATAGGGCTCGAGATAAAAGAATTGCATTGAAGGGTCAAATTCTGAGGATCCCTGCAACTTGCCACATCAATTGCTACCCACCTGAGCTCAAGCTTCGCAGCATGGAAGAGCTCAAAGATGCACCCCTCCTCTCGAAGCGCTCTATGGAGACATTCTATGAATACTACAGCCCGCCAGATCCATCCAGTCCAGAGGTATCCCCTCTTCTCAACCAGAACTTCAAGAATTTGGCACCGGCCTATCTTCAAGTCGCGGGAATGGATCCGCTAAGGGATGAAGGATTGGCCTACGCCGCTAAACTCAAAGATGCAGGGTAAGATGAGGTCCAAACAAACCTGTTCATAACTGACTTCTCCAGTGTGCCGACAAAGGTCGACATCTACCCCGGTTTGCCCCATGCGTTTGGCTATTTCCCAGAGCTGTCGGCAACACCCAAGTTTTCCATCGATGTCATCACGGCCATAGTTCAATTGATCGGGGGAAGTCTGTGAGCTTGCTATGTACCTAGAAGATCGCTAGTGCGTTCGGCGGGCTGGCTACGCCCCCAGCAACATTCAATGGGCAGCTTGTAACGAAAAAGCTCCAGCGACCGTGTTTCTTGCACTGATCAGCTAGCTCTTCGAGATCCCATCACTCTCCTAGCGGTGTTCCCCATAAGGCCAGAGCATTATCATGGATTCCTAACTGTTCGTCAGAGAAGAGGTTCGGCATCGGAGGGTAACGGTCATGCTCACTGTATGGGCCTTCCGCTGGCCACGCCTCGAAAGCCATGTTGTCGCCCACCAAAGCAGAGAAGTGATGATCCCACAACCACTTGATGCTCTCGGCAGTACCCTCAACTCCTACATAGTTGTGGTTTGTCTTACATCCCGCCACTCTTTCATCCGAGGTGGATTCGTTGTACCACTTGATCCACCCAGTTCTGATCATGAGGATATCGCCGACTCTGAGCTTCAAGCCCTCTTCCTCCGCAATCGCTTCCAAGTCTAGGTGACTAATACAGTGTTTGCTGGCCGCACTGTACTCGATGCCTCTCTTCTCAGCCCATGCAACGTAGTCCAGAAGCACACCCCTGCCGACAACACCGCCTCGTTTCGACCATTCTGCATGTCAAAGTGAGCTTCATGAAACGTGAGATCATTGGGTGGCGAAGATTATCATACCTTGAATGCCATTGCGTAGATTGGGTCTTTCCCCGCTGATCTCATCATGAGTCAAGCCGTTGTAGTACTTCCCCGAGTCCTGGTGGGCCCAATGTCCTACCGACGTTTAATGGGTATGAGGTTAATGGACTTATGTCCTTACTTACGGAGTCCGTCCCATTGACTGCTTGTCTGTGTATTAATGCAAATTTCGTCATCGTGTCCCACCAGGGCAGGCTTCAGATCCAAGAAACGGTGCTTGATCTTGGTCCGATTGTGACCTGGGTCCTCAATCCGTTCCAGTGGCCAGCTTGCAAATCCTCAAGTCAGCTACTGCTGGCTTTAGACAGAATGAGAACTATCTTACTCACTTCAGTGAAACTGAAACACCGGTCTGAATCTCTTTCCTGGCCTCGAGTGTGTTGGATGGGGTTAGAAGGTTAAGAGATCCAACTTGATCAGCTTTGTCATCCTTGTCCCAAAGACCCCAAGCGCAACCGTGAGGCATGCCATCGACAGGAGGGATGTTCTCGTAGGTGGGGAGCGAATGGGTAGACATGTTCATAGAAGGTTTCAAGAGGGTTCGAACTACATGAATCTCGTCCCATCGTCCGAAAAATAAAGCAACACATCTCTTATGTACTTGACTCTTGATCTTGTTACAAGGGTCTTTACGCCCCGGGACGGGCCTCCGCATGAACACGGGCTGATACATGCATAGTGTTCGCTGTTGATGGGCAACACAAACAAATTGATATCACTATTGGACCGAGGAGTCCTTTTCCGACAATAGCCGGGTATTTAGGGACTGGTTCTCGGATACAGCATTTTTGGAGGCTATACAACAGCGATCGGCTGAGTCTTCCGGGAGGCACACTAAAATCCGGGTAATGAGGCGACGCACGAAACAGGCGACAAATTACCCAATGTCTACCAATTACTGCTCAATACTGAGCTATTGGCGGCTGTGTGATTCTTCAGATGATGTGAGCGTGTCACTGTCTGTTCTACGCGGTGATAGACGCCTTTCTCTAATCTCAATCTCATCGCATCGGTGCTATGGAAGTCGCCCGGGCCCTACCGGGTAACATTCAGAACATAGCAAGCGCATTCGATGGACTACCGACCGAACCTTTCAGGTGTTAGCTATTATCTGATATTCTCAGCAGGTGCTTGCCTTTGATGTTATTTGGCGTGCTCGCAAAGAAGAAGGCGTACTGCTTGCGTTGCTGGCAAACTTCGGCCAATCTCTCCAAGTCCCAAAGTTCCCCGATAGGCACACCCCATTTTGGCAAGAGATTGACATGATGATTCCACTCTTTGTTTTGTGGCCAAACCTCAAATGCAGGGGAGTCCGATGCCACAACGCTGAAGTAGTTGTCGTGAAGGAAGTCAGCAACATCAGGGTGTTGATCGACACCCACAAAGGTATGACTATAGGCTGGAACCTCGGTCAACTTGACTCTTTCGTCTTGAGTCATCTTGTTGTATGTGTCGATCCAGCCAGTACGAATGATCAGGATGTCACCGTACTCAAACTTGGTTCCTTGGGCCATAGCGCAAGCTTTGAGTTCTTTGGCAGAAATCGGATGGCGAGAGTTCACATCGTACGACTCCTTAGCATAGCTCCAGTAATCAAGAAGGACACCTCTTCCGACTGCATAGGTCTTAGTGATCTTTCAAGTGACAGGGTCTTAAGCTGGAAACATACCAATACCCTGGGCGGCCCAGGCCTGCACTCCGCATTTGGTGGTCTTCTCGATCTGCTCAGGTGTCGTCTTGGAGATAGGGTTTCAGCAAAGCTATGTGTATCAGTTTCTAGAAAGACCACTCACGTTGTTGTAAAACACCCAACCTCCTTTATGGGGTACACTGACCTGTCCGGTCATTACTGTCAGTTGATGCAGTCTTTGCTTTAGCTTTGGATGGACCATTATCTAACATGTCGAAATCCATCCCACTTTTGAGTGTTAGCAAAAGGTTTCCAATCTTTAAGATGGTGTTTACCTGAGAGCCGCTTTGTGAGTTCATTTTCAGAATTTCATCGTTGCCTGCCGGTCCGAGATGCTTGATTTGATGCAGCAATGGCTCACGGCCAAACATGGGTGGAAACGGTAATTCAGCAGACCAACTATGTGCGATTAGGTAATTGACCTTGTTTCAACTGTCAGAGCTTACTTCAAGCCAATGGTAATACCATCCTTGATCAGACTTGCTGCTGCCGCCTTGCGCCTTGGGGTGAGCAGGTTTAATCGACCCAACTATGCAGTGTCAAGCTTAGCCAGGCGCCCTTCAACATTTGTAGATGACAGAAATATTAACCTCATCATTTTCGCCCCAGAACCATGCCGAATCTTGAGGTGTCCCTGGAACGTGCGGGAGCTGAGATCTTGCAGGCAAGCTATCCGAGTCCGGGTCGTATTTCATGTTTTCGACGTCTCCGATATCGAGAAACAAATTCTTGAGAACGGCTAAGGAATGAGTAAGAGATGGAATAGTAAGATATGTTTAAAAACTTCAACTATTCGTTTGGGTTGAAGATTCCGGAAAAGACTTCCGCTCTTTCTGATGGGTCCTTGAGCTTACTCGCGCTAAGTACACAACAACAATGCTCCAATTGGCTCCCGGAACCTGCAAATACCTGACCCAATTCCAACCAGCAAGCCAAACAACTATGTTAAATGCTACATGTAGTTTCCTGAGTAACATTGGCTTTCTGTAGTTCCTCTATCAATGAATCCAGATGAACCGACTTTCGATACCGCGTTCATAAGCCTCGCCGTCCATGATGCTGTGCCCGTAGCTATAACCCACAAAGTCGCACTCGAGATCATTGTCAACCGGCTTGAGTCCGCCTCGCGGTCTCACTGTGAATGGTACGCTGCCTCCGTTGAATACCCAGACTTCGTCTCCAGCTTGTGTTTCGAGATGTCCCCGTCCGATAAGCCCAGACTTTGTTGTAAAGTACACTGAGTTCTTTACCGTCATCAAGATTTGGTCGTGAATCCATTCCTCCCCTGTTCTGTTGCGTACATATTCCATAGCCTGGTGGGCGTCGGCTGCGGATGCGCGCTGAACGGGGTCTCCGACAGCATCTCTAACAAGATCGTTGGTGATGAGCCTCCCAAAGGCTTCTTCGTCGGGTCCCGTACTCTTCCATCTTTGCAAGGTTTCAGCCAGCAACTCGTATGATGCGTGTTTACCAATGAGCATCAATCCAGGTTCGACTCTCTCAATTCTGTCGACAAAAACGCCCGTGAGGCCTAACATGCCTTTTTGGTGCTGGAATTCCATGCGACGACCACCATCCGCACGAAAATGCATTGAATCGTATGTGTGATGCCAGTATTCTATCTCGTGTATAGGCACTCCCACCAAGTCGATTGCCCACCTGGCCAAATTCGGAGTCGCCCTGACTGGCTTAAGGCGGGGGTTTCCGACAAGCGGCCGAAGGCTCTGCTTGTCAGTAATGAGGTCAAGCGTTAGGTTCTCGTAGACCTCAGCTACTGGGATCTCATAATCGCAGCTTTCAAATCTGGGCAGCGCGCCGGGTGGAAATAGTCCGAGCAGGGCATAGACCTTGTCTCGAGGGTCGTGGGCTTGCCGGCCCCGCCATTGCTGCATAGCTGACGACGGCTTGCAGTCGTATTTACAGCTATTCAACCATACCAGAACCGCAATAAGACCGGCTATGGGGCCCTCGGCATACTCATACCCACAGACTCTGAACACGTCTTGCGGTATCTCAGTTGTGTAAGTCTTGGTTGCTTGAATCAACGTGCTCCAAGGAATTGACTGCGATCCCAAGAGTAAGACGGCTTCTTTCGGGAGAACTGCTTCTTGAACCGTCCATATACGAGAAAACCAAGAACCTTGGCCGGCCATCAGGTGCACCAATGCCGATATCGGCCCCCTGAATGCCGCTTCGGAAGCCATGCACTGAGGGGCGGGGGTATCAGTAGTGCCACCGTCCGCCATGTACTTGAGAAATTCGAATAGTGATTCCACATGAGCCGGGTCCATTTCCTGAGGAATTTCGCCCGCCCAAAGCAGACCTTGCCGGCATCGAGAATAGATTTGCCGCATCAGTGGGACGATAGTCGACTTTTCCGCGCTATCTTTCTGGTTGATGCAAATTTGGTCGGCCCAAACCGTCCTCGTTTTGTGCTGGAGCCGAAGCCGAGACAGAGCTGCGTGGAGACTTTTTGTCGTATTAAAAACCTCACCCGAAACCTCAATCTGGATCTCATTCTCGGAATCATGATTTCCCCAGACGTACGAAATGGCTTCGTAGTCTGGCGGGTCGAATAATGATGCGACGCGAAGTTGACATCGAATAGGAGCATTTTGGCCGGGCTCTTGAAAAGCAGGCAGGATATCCAGCAACCGAAACTGGCCGTCTCCTACTGGAGTCTTGGTGAAAACCAATTCATGAGAGCCCATGATTGTCTTCAGCCCGAACAAGCTGACCAGCTGAGTCGCCTCACAAGCGTTATACAACAGCAAAGGAATGAGCCGGCCGATTTCAGTCAGATAATGGTGCGTGAAAAGGGTTTAGACCGAAAATGTTGGCACAGTACGCTTGCAAATTTGCGCGGAAATACGTATCCTGCGCATGATGAGGGGCCAATGTTCGGAAAGGGTCACAAAAGAATGTGGCTTTTGGCGGAGTGTCGAGCCCCGCACATTGAAAATACACCAGATACGACTGCCCTCTACTCAAATTCCAATAAGTTTCGAGGCGGCTGACTCGCTTCCTGGCTCGTGGTTATCGTACAACACTGCCTTCTGACATACTTGACAACAAACAGTGGCACGTTATTGGATGAAAGTGACCCGCAGTGTACCAAAGTTCCAAAAGCGGTGAATCTCTCCTGATTTCATCCTTGAGCGTGCCCTTAAGTTGCATCATGGGTAGAGTCTGAAAGATTGATGATGGGGTAATCCCGTTGTGGACTTTCCTGTACTCAGCCCGACTTTCAATCGGTGTTAGCCGCTATAAAGACATTATGGATACCGATTCGTCAGAAGGAACAATTGACACATCACGGCTTGGAAGTCAATCATGAGAGACTTCTCCGGGGCTATATTGTCATCCATTACTAAAGAGATTTGAAGACATGTAAGGCTACTTCATCTCTTCTTTCCGTGCCTTTTTCATCCGCAACATTAATGACTAAAAGGTCGTTTACCACGAACTTGTTTAACATCAGAACAGGACGTTTGTGTCCGGAAGGCCATCACATCCGGGCACAAAATCTCCAAAATTCTTCGTCCTCGAAGTCTTAGCAATACAAGATTAAGCATTGATATATTTCTATGAGTGATCTGAGTAAGGCTGCGACTAGCTTGATGAATTCTCAAACTGCAATACAAAATCCTCCAAAGGCTCAATCACCGTCAGTAACATCTCTTGAATGAACTCCTCCTTCTCCAGATCAGGAGTAATGGAAAATTTGAGGTGTACGCATCGAAAGATTACATCTGCAATGCTTGGCCCATACTCCTTCTCCACCGACTGCTGCCATTCTCGCGCAGCGAGCTCAAGTGTGAAATCACTGGGTTTACCATCCACCCAATATTTCCTGTAGAATGGCTGTTCCTCGAGCCTTTTCTGATAAATAACTTGAAGAATGATCACACCCAATGTAAACACAGCCATCTCAGCATGATGTTGAGCGTTTTTAATGTCTCTTCGAAGTGCCTGTCGCATCGAGAGATGGTAGTAGAAAGGTATTGGTCGAGGCTTCAAACAAACGGTGATATCACCGTCATCCCATCCTTGGGGAAACCACGCTGAAGTTCCAAAACCAATTATTGTGTAGGCAAGTTTCGTTGCTAGCCGGATTCGCTGATCCAATTTTGGAGCATACTTCCAAAACTCCCTCAGCCACATAGGATTATGATTTGGAGAGCTCTGCGACGTGGAGTGGTCCATTTTTCTCACTGCAATGTAGCCCTTTTCCCTTGTGTCTTGAAGATACCGGACAGAGTCACTCGACAGAGGGTCATGCAGAAAGTCGCAAGAGACTTGGCTAGCGACCAAGTTCACTGCGGTCTGGGAAAAGGCAGATCCTTCGTCGAATCTGACTTTTTGTCGTCTTTTAGACCGCCGGAGCCTCTTAGTCGAGGGCTCAGAAGCTCTAAAAATCGTTGTCAGCCCAGCCTCGATAGGTTCTAGCCTTTGAATCAGTCTTACTGTGATACCACCAGTCCCTCGGAATTGCCGTATCCTATGTCGGGGCCACTTTCGGCTTTATGTTCGGATGTGCGATCCACCTTCTCGGGGTTTCCATGCTGATCGGGCCCCGTTCTCACCAAATCTAAGGCAGAGCCTGCAAGCGCAGAGATTACTGGCATGGTCTTCGGTGCTGTTCGAGCCTTAGAGCCTCGAGTCAGCCCGGTACGTTCTAGCTTAGACGACAATTGGTCAATAAGCGGTTGTTTCGGAAGGTTAGATCGGTCTGATTCAGGTTCGAAAGAATAGAAGTCCACATCCAGTCTTTCTGGGGAATTGGAACCCTCAAGATAAAGCTGAATACTTCCTTTCGATATCCCATGCACATCGTAAACCCAGTTAACGGCAATTCCACAAGGATGTTGGAGACCACAGTCACATTCCCATCTATTCGGTTGGAAAATTCGGTACAGCGAATCCACGTGATTCTGGAGTTTGCGGAAGGGTTGTGCTTTCTTTTTGTAGACCTCGTCTTGCCCGTGAGATTTGAAGGTGTTGCCAAGGACTGTCCCCTTCATCTGTGCAATTTTCATGTCATTGCTTAAGAAGTCGCGGATCTTGCGGTTGATCTCTTCAAATTCGACAACTAGCTTACGCTTGCTGGTAAAGCTGATAGCTAGCCTAATTTGCTGCTGGTTCAAAGCGGTCATGGCCGATGATTGATAGCCAGGAGTCTGTACTTTTGCCTTCGAGCCCTGCGTTATTCAGTAAGTATGGTTTGCTCCAATACTAGGGTCAGGCGCACCTAGAGAAACTCACCTTTGAGTCGAGTAAGCGCAAAATTCCTGCAAGGTCTTGGATGATTTCGTTTATTCGTTCGGTTCGTTGAATCAACCAATTGAGCTCATACTCGTCGTTTCCAAATCTTCCGTAGAGCACCTGCCGAAACTTGGGGTTGCGCCACATCCCAGACCTTTCAGGAAAGTCGACCAGACTAGCTGTTAAATCAAGGTCAAGATTGAGGGGACCCAAGAGAAATTTGATGTTCTGTCTGTAAGCCATCATCTGGTCATGAATGGACCTCAACAGCGGCGGAAACTTGTCACGGAACATCCAGTAGAACTCCAACCGTTCAGCCTGTTTGCCCGCTTCTATGAGAAGTGGTATTGCCCCGAGAACAACACCGACAACCTCCAGGCCTGCCATATCAAGCCTGCCGTGTTTTTTTCAGATCGGTTCTCATGAGATCTGTTCAGTGATCAATAGGGTAAGGAGCTTGCGCGTCACACGGAATTGTGAGCGACTTCATCGGGGTAGCGCCTTGTAGTGCTTGACGATACTAGTTCTCAGAAAGCTTTGATGTCCGATAAAGGGTTACTCTTGCTGCTAAGCCACCCGAGATATTATTTGAACAGATCTGTATGTCACTCAAATAGACTGAGGTTTTGTCGCCCGGTGAAGGGCGCTCTCCTGTTCCAAAGCCCTTGCAAGTGGGATACCTAGGTAGATAAATGAGGGAATATGATCTGCATAAGCCCGATTTCCTCCCGTGCGGACTACTACCCCGCTTTCTTATCAACACGTAGTTTACGGTCATTGGACTTCCCTTCCCTTTCTGCAGGCGATCATGCTACAAGTCTCACCTGATTCGCCATCGATCGGTGGCCGATGTCGTCCCCGACTGCATACATGTCAGCCGCTCCCTTTCCAGCTAGTCTCTTGTAAACTTGCCCCGTATCATCCTGGTAGCTGTTATCAGTCATATGAGCGCTCGAGATCTCTGAATATTAAGAGAAGCATCGGAGTCCGGATACCCCCCCGACCTGAATTTGCCTCACCTGCAAGCGCTTCCAGCGACCGTCATGTATCAAAAAACAAAACCACTAGATAGTGCCTCCTCCTCGATCTCAAACCTCGCAAATCGATGCAGAAAGGCGTTACAAGAGCTCTACACTTTGGTTAAGGGACAGGATGAGGATCTCACTACGTCCACACTTTACAACGTCAACGGGCGGTTCAACGTATGGGGCAGCAATCTGGCTGCGTTTCGAAGGAAGGATTCCGTGGCATCTCTGGACTGGCGTCTCAGGAAGGCAGAGCAGATGACAGAAGCCGTCAAAACAACGCTGGAAGAAATAATTCAGGCATCTGAAGAAGGTAAGCCTTCGGAGACCCCCGAAGAAATACTTCGTGACATGGCCCAGAACTAATCACGATAAACCAGCCGATGCCATCCTACGAGATAATCGCCGCAACGGGCAAAAGTCAGACATGGAAGCTTTGTTCGAGGGAATTGACTTGGATGATCCCGAAAACCAAGAGCTATCTGAGTTTTTGAACTCCATAACAACCGAGCTCGACGCATTGCTCAATAGCATCGCGTTGTCAGTTGATAGGCTGTTCACTCTGGCCATGCTGATCCGCCGGGAGTCCACGAACCAACCTCACGGGAACCACAAGGGCAAAATTAGTCCGGGAACTGATCCAGGTCGCGATAATCATATTCTTCGTCTCAAAGACAAACATCCAGGGCTGCTAGACAAGGAGTGGCTCCAGCACAGACTTGCAGATGCCTTCGATCATCGCAGATCCTCTATATTAGATCTTCAAACCAAGCGTCCTATCCCCTGCTTTGAAGTTGAAGCGCAAACAGGATCTTCACAACATGGACCTTCCGTAGCAGCTACAACATACCAGGAGGATGGCAAACGCCATGAGGGATTAGAAGATGGAAGCGTCTCATCAACAGCCAGCTTTGTAACAAAGACGTCTTTCGTGACGGCGATTCAAACGGGCGAAGACGGCGAACTAGGGATTATGGACTTGGAGCGACTGACCTTCCACAAAGTCCGACTTCGATATGGAGAATCGTTCAATTGCCCACTTTGCAGAGAGTTCATACTTGTGACCTCCAGAGAGGAATGGAAGTAAGTCAGCTCCGCAATCATGTGCACTATCTCTCAAAGCTGATATAGTGGTTAAAATGAAACAGAAACCACATACTGTCCGACCTAAGTCCCTACCTGTGCACTTTTCAGAGCTGTCCCGTAACCCTGTTTTCCAAGAGACATGAGTGGTTTGGTCATGAACTTGAGTTCCATCGAATGATATGGCACTGTCACAAATGCGAATCGAGATTCGATACGGCGGAACTACTGAGGAAACACTTCATTGAGTCGCACAGACATGTTGTCCCGGAGTCGCATATACCAATGATTCTCAAGTCGGCGAGTCGACCTACACAAGATTTCTCGAACCAGCCTTGCCCCTTTTGTCGGCCATTGTGGTCTGTTCCGCGAACGGAGTCTACCCAAGCCATGGCTCTTTGCCGACACATAGGAAAACATTTCCAAGAGTTAGCTGTGCTTGCGATACCAGCTGTCATTGAAGGACTAGAAATCCAAGAAGAAGAAAAAGAAGAAGACGAAGAAGATAGCCACGGCGAGAGAGAAGCCGAAAAGGATGGTGTGAAAACTGGAGGCCAAGATGCAGGTGATGACACTGAAAGTATTACCAGCGACGGTCAGGGCAGTATCATTACTTCACCTGATGCAACACCCGTCAGCAACCGACATATAACAACAGAAATCAAAATTTCTGGCCCAAATGGGGTAAAACAGACTTTCAATGCCATCTGGCTGGAATCCATCGCCCACAACATTGTCACTGCAAGAGTCAGAAAAGCTCTTGGGCTTCGAGTGCGTCGCGCTCCTAGAGGAGGTTTCAACGCCGTACTTCCTGGCATTGGAAATAAATCTTTCCAAGCCTTTGTCTCGGCGGCAGTTTCCGACTTTGGAGGAGACGATTGGGAACACGAGGTAGACTTCTTTGTCCTGGATACAGGGGAGCTTCAAGATGCGGATGTGATTCTGGGGTCCTCCTTTCTGGGAAAGGTTTCGGGCAACAAAAGCGTGAACGCAGATCGCATTTCCGAAGACGTTAGCAAAAAGACTCACGTCATATCCTCGTATCGTATTCGGCAAGACGTTTTGAAGGCTTGGCTTACAGAGACATTTGGTCCGACTATTGAGGTAGTAAGTACAATCGTAATTTTGTAATTCAACCTTTGGGGCTAATGTGTTTTAAGACAGTACACCAGGCCAACTTCATCATCTTGACTCCAGGTCATGTTCCAGGGGTAATGCTCACCGTCCATTAGTAGATGCCGTCATTAATTAGTGCTCCAGCTTACCCAAAGACACGTTAGCCATTTGAGAAATTTGAAGACTTGGCCGCCAAAACCAAGAAATAACAGAGAGTGATCCGGTGGACATTCAATTTTGGAGGAATCAGTCAAACGGCACCGAGGTTTCGTTTTCGAAATTATGTGTCTCTAGGTTGGTGAATGGTGAAGGTTACTTGCTGTTCTACCATTGTAAATATCTTCATAGGGTAATTTGTCGATTTCTTTCTTCGGGCAGTTGAAGCAAAGTCTGCAAAGGCTCGTCTTTGATTCGGGGCTTGTATTTTGTTTCCAGTCTCCGCCAAGGTCATGGCGAGACCAATAGGCAGCAAGAGTTGAGGCTGAAATGCCTTTTGCTGGTAGATGACATCTCAATAGTATGAATCATCATGAATCCCCCTCCCATACAACAAAATATCCTCAAAAGGGTTCCCCGCCTTCAACACCCTCACCCTCGGCCTCCCCTGATCCCCCCGGCTAACATACCCACAACTCGTCTCATTAAACCTCTGCCGTCCCCTCGCAACGGCCCTAAACTTCGGCACAATCGCCTCCCTCCTCTCCACCCGCCCCCACCCGCCGACNGCAACGGCCCTAAACTTCGGCACAATCGCCTCCCTCCTCTCCACCCGCCCCCACCCGCCGCCGCCCGCACACGCATTCTGCTCCTGCACGTCGACCTCGCCCCACGCCCAGAACCCGTCCTCCGCGTCGCAGGGGAAGTCGATCGTCAGCTTCGGCGCGATCTCCGCCGGAACGCCCGTGTACAGCTCGCGGAACTCGGTCAGCAGCCGGCGCGTGAGCGGGCACTCGGCATCGAGCCAGACGTAGACTTTGGTGGCCTTCGTCTCCTTGGCCGCGAGCGTGTGCCAGATGCTGCCGCCGTTGAGGTACAGCCAGTTGCCGCTGTCCTCGCGCAGGGAGATGTTGATCGTGCGGGCGGAGGAGACGTAGCGCGGCCGCGGGTATTTGAGGAGGCGCTGGAGGGTGTGACCGTTTGTGATGTTTAGGATGCGGGATTCGCGGAAGGAGTCTATGCATTCGTCGTATCTGGGGATAGAAAGTCAGTGGTTGTTCAAAGTGATTTCGGGTGAAGGCTGTGAACGTACACCCTCTTGCAAGATACCAAGAGCGACATGAAAGCTTGGTTCTGGCCCTGGTTTAAGTCGACCTTCCTCCCCTCCTTGATATCCTCCCACAACTCTTCACATCTCCAGTGATTACACCAAGGCGACTGCATCCTCAGGAACCACTCCGGGTGCCATTGTACCTGCGGGGCCTTCTTAAAGTCCCTTGCGAGGCCCAGCTGCCTCTCATCCGGCGCCTCGTGATCCGTCACACATGGCGAGTACCGCATGTTGCCATCCTCAAGAAACGCGTGCCGCTCCACGCCGCACGCGACCCAAAACTCCTTGTATATCTGCTCGCGGATCTCGGGCGGTAGTCTGCGGAAAAGATGTGATTGGCCCTGGGGGTAGGCCTGCCGCCTCAGTTCTGGGTCCTTGATTCTCGGGGTTTCTTCGGGGGTAGTGTCGGTGTTGGTGGCCGTAGGTTGACATGTCTTTTCGCCCTCTTCCGGTGTAGTCCTCTTCCATAGAGACGAGGTCTTGAATGAAAACTTGAATGACTTCGTTGGTGTTTTGCTGATGGTCAAGAAATCGTCGTGGCGATCACTCCTCGTGGAAAATACTTTCTTGAAACCGCCCAGACATGATTTTGATGCCCGGCGGAAGAGGCTTCGATGGCCCATGACCGGGCCGGGATGAGTTTCCATATCAGGGCCGGACTTCTAACCCCAACACCGATGAGAAGGCCGACAATAGTGAGCTCACGGTGTGGATTTGGCGGGAAGGATCAAACAGGACGTAAGTTTCCGTCAACAGTGAATCCAGAGGGATGGTTCTTTAGTCAGAGAAGAGGAAATAGAAACTGGCAGGCACTGGGAGAAAGAAAGAAGAAGGGAAGAAGGGCAGGCAAGCAGGGGTGGTCTCAGAGGCAGGGGGGTGCAGAGGTTGCGAGAACCGATATGTATGAATGTTTGCTTCACAGTGTCTCGGACACCTACTCTGTCCTCGAGGGCAGGTCTCCATGCAACCAATCAAGGCTGTATACTGTTCCACCGTCCCGAGAATCTGGTAAAAGGACTTATGTGTTCAGCCAACCAGTTTCGCAGGTGAGCCAACCGAGTTGCGAGGTCATTCAATACAAGCACAGCGTCCACTTTGTATACATGCGTGGGGAGGGGGCGAAAAGGCGCGGCAGGGATCGAGACCACAAAAAGGTGGTGTTGGTGTTGGTGGCTCTCGCCTGCCCAGGATGAGAGCGAGCATCACATCTCCACCCCGTGTAATGGGGGGAGCAAACACGCATTTTTGTTGCCTGGTTTGGGCTCAGAAGGATGGGCGGCGCATGGGGTCATATTTTTTTATTGTTCCATATTGGGGAGGGTGGTTGTGGTTGTCGACGTGAATGTGACATGTTCATACTTGCTTTCCGGAAGCAGAAAAAAGCAAAGAAAACGGGCACTGTGAACGTCGCAGCGGAACAGGATGGGCGTCACAATACGTGTACCCCCTTGTCGAGTCCACAGGGCGGACGGGCGCGAAAGGGAGAGGCGGCCGGCCGTGGAACACTTTGCGGGATCGTTTCCCGTGGTGAGACAGAGATCATCCGTGGTGGTTCCTCGTGAACTCGTGGCTTTTGGGTGTGTCACTCGGGTAGTGCCAAAGTGCATCATCGGAGGCGGACGACAGCTCCTGCAAGACACCCACAAAAAGGTGAAGACCCCGGACCTTCCTCCACCAACATGCCAGGGGATACAACGCAGCACCAACAGTCAGTTCCAACTGAGGATGAGCCGATCAAGCTGCTAGGCGCTGGGAACTGAGCCGTCACTTCCCGCTTAGATTTTGAGGTGGGCGATGATCTGTCCGGTTGCGTTGGATCAAAATGACTGAAAAGACGGCGCGGATTCGAGTATGCTGGATTTCAGTTAGTTAAGTGAATAGCGCATGTCAGTCAGGAATGAATGAACCGCTCGTCACGGGCAAGATATGTCTCAGTCTGGGCCTCGCAATTCCCGCGACACGGCCAGCAATCATGCATCTCGTAGCGAGCAAATCAACCACAACCCCCAAGACCTGAGCATTTTCCCATCTAGGCATTCCAGTCGTCGAGTGGGACGTGGAACCTGTCAGACTGCAGCATAGCAGGCAGCGAGATGATCCCAACGGCCGTTGCGAGCGCACCAACACGCGAATGTCAAACTGTCACGGCCACTCTGCAGCACGTCCGCGGCACAGCGGTGCTGGCGTGAGATGGGCCGCTCAAGACGCTAACTACCTGGTTGTCATCGTCAACCTAGACAGAGCTCCGCAGGCAGAAAAGCGGCGAGAGGCGATTGGCTGATCTACGGGGAACGACGGCGTTCTTTTCTCCTCATCTGGACCCCCTTCTCTCCCTCTCTCCACGCATCGCGGGCTGCGGGACCGTTGTCGATAAGGCCTGGCCGCGAACTAGGCGCGCTAAGTGCCTAGTTCCCGGGGAACGGCGGTCGCTGCGCCGGCCGGCCGACGGGGCTGCCGGATGGGGTGAGGTGCATTTCCCCATTTGAACGAATCAATCTGTGAGAAGCATTCTCCGCCCGGCTGCGCCGACGAGCGGATGTTTCAGTTGGAATGCGATGCAAAAGTCGTTCAGTTGCCGGACAGCAAAGGCCGAGAAGCAGAGATGTGACGGGCGAATCCCATGTACCTGTTTTCGTCCTTGTGTAAAATGCCCGGGGAGGCAGAATTAGGGTCGAATGTTGTTGGAACATGCATGCCTCGGTGTTTTTCGGCCGCATCGTAGGTGATGGGTTTCGCCTCTCTCGTGAGAGAATGTGGACGCGATATCCGTGAAAAAGGCAGGGATACTGCGTTGGGGAGACGGGGTCGATTTGCCTCTCGCACCAACAACAACTTGTCGTTCCTTCGAAGCCATTCCCACAGCGGCAGCTGGACAGATGCAGTATCCACAGCGCGTACTATGCAGTAGGTGTCAGTGTCAATACGGTTATGGATATGCGTGTGTGCATGAGGCCATTCAGGATCCAGATCTCGCGGCCACAGTTTACGACCCGGTCCATGGATGGGCGAGGGAGAGAGATCCTTGTCGTTCTGTTGGTGGCGGTTGTCGTTGGTGATGTGAAGTGGGTGCTCGACAAGCGGCACAGTCACATTAGACGAGCTTGCCCATCCCTGGCAAGATTCGACCAAGATGTGACCCTATAGTCTATACCGATAACTGACAGCAGAAAATGGCATCTGAAGGGCGAGATCTGGGAAACAGAGTTGGACCCTGTGAACTCTGTCCAGAGTTTATCGGTTGGGCGTGCCGGGTGGCGTTCGGTGCCTCGTGCTTGTGATGGCTCGCGGACGCGGCCGTGAGGCAATTCGCACTAAGCAGGAACCTTCTTGGGCAGCGAAAGAAGGTAAATAGAACGATGGTGGTTTGACAGGTGGTGAAACCCAATCTAGAGAGATTTAGGCGTGGCAGACAGGGAATTTGCAAAAAGAAACATCGCGAAATTCACAATGTCGCCCAAAAAGAAAGTTGTCGATGATGGAAGGAGCAACACATGCAAGCCCAGGCCGACATAATCCCACCTACTACCTACCTGCGCTCTGACCTCCCCTGGCTTTCCCGCTTTTCGGCAAGCTCGAGGGGCCGCCGGGACTGGACCGCTAACGAAGCGCTGAAGCAGTGGGCTTGACCGGGATATCGCGAGTTTCCAGCGATTGCCGCTAGCCATAGGGCAGAAGGAGTGCTAAAGACAGGCGCTGCCATTGGCGATGCCGGTTGCCGACAGACTTCCGTTGGGGGAGGAAACAGCCAGGTTCAGGGCATCAGATTAAGGGAAACACTGAGCTGATAAGGTACGCGATAAAGCATCGGAGCAAATGAAAAAAACCAGACGAAAGAAAAGGCGGGGCGCTTGGTCCGTGGCAGAAGCTTGGCGAAGGGAGGCGAACGGCTCGTCCATGCGCTACCTCTAGAAAAAAACAACAATCTCCCACGCGAGACCGACGACGAGGACGAAGAGCCAAGCCTCGGATCGACTCCTGTCTGGTCTGATCAGTCAACAGTCGTCGCAATTGACTCGTCCCGTCATACCTTTCGTCCACACGACTGCAACCCTGAGAGCCAACCCCTCCGTTTCATGGCGTTTACTGTCCCAGCAGTGCTTCGCTGTGCCGCGCATAAGGGCGCCACTACGTCATGAAGTTCGCAAAGGAGCTCGAGCAGGACCTTGTGCCAGGTGCGAAAGCCTCCCCCATGCGCCTGTCTCTGGCGATTGTCTTGCGATTTGCTAACGCAGAGTCCCTTGAACAGAATGGCGCGTCAAATACCTCGATTACAAGGCCGGCAAGAAGCTCATTAAGAAAGTGTCTCGCGCCATCAATCGCGCCAATGGTAGTCCGCAAGGGAACTCGGGCAAGCTTAACAACCGCGGAACATCCAACTTCTTCAATAGCGACAATGCGAGGGATACGAATCCCGACGAGAGAACGTCGCTGCGGGAGGGCTCTGCCCCGGTCGGCTCTGCCCGACAGAAGCCCATGACGCCCGCGCGAGCGATCCCCGCGAACCACGAACACCAGAACCTGACGAGTGGCTCGAATGATATGCAATATGGTAGCTTCGTGCACACGCCGCCCCAGCACGAGGGCGCTCCCCTCGATCGGCGGCCGACCTTCGAGCTTCCTGGCCCTGCGATGAAGGTGCCTTCCCGGACGACAGACGAGGGGGCTGAAGGGGCTCATGCGCAGGAAAGCCCAATGGCCAGACAGGCTCTACAGCGCAGCGCGTCCATGATGACGGATCCACGAAGCAATGAGCCCTCCGCGCCTGAACAGACGCACTCTCCGTCGTCAATGAGGCTCCCTCACCCCGCCACTATCGGGTCTGTAAGTGGCTCGCCAAGGCGCGGCTTGCGGAGGGGGGTTACGGGGTCCTCACCCC